GGCTGAGGCAGGAGAATTGCTTGAACCTGGGAAGTGGAGCTTGCAATGAGCTGAGAAGGTGCCACTGCCCTCCAGCCTTGGCGACAGAGACTCTATCTCAAAAAAAAAAAAAAATCTCCCAAGACTGGGAAGACTGGGTTAGGTGCACCTGTTTTGTGCTTCTACCCTCCCTGTCCCTTGTCATTTCTGTTGTAGGTAGGCCTATGTTGTTTTGGTTATCCTTACACAGATTTAGAGCTCCTTAAAGGATGGGACTCTGTCCAATTATTTTTTGTACAGCATTAACTAAGAGCATGATCACGCGTTATTGTTACATGATTCACTCTCTTAAGCAAGCAGGTGCATTCTTTGTATTCAGGCCTTCATAGCCTTCTATTATATTGTAATCTATTTCCTGGAGTGATGCTTAGTACATTGCATAACTTGATACTTAATGGAGTTTCTAAAATGAAGGTCCCTGCTACTCAGATTTGCTTGGTTATTGTTGTGAGGCTTTATAAAAGGATATTTCTTAAAGATTCTGAATATTAGTTAAAGGAAATATAGTCATTATTTTCTTTTTGGAGACAGAGTCTCTCTCTGTTGCCCAGGCTGGAGTGCAGTGGCACCATCTCAGCTCACTGAAACCTCTGCCTCCTGGGTTCAAGCAATTCTCCTGTCTCAGCCTGCTGAGTAGCTGGCTCTAGAGGTGCGAGTTGCCACACCTGGCTAATTTTTTGTGTGTTTTAGTAGAGACAGGGTTTCACCATGTTGTCCGGGCTGGTCTCAAACTCCTGGGCTCAGGCAATCTGCCCACTTCGGTCTCCTGAAGTGCTAGCATTACAAGCATAAGCCACTGTGCCCAGCCCACAGTCTTTAAAAATGTGATGTGGGGGACAGGCGCAGTGGCTCACGCCTGCAGTCCAGCACTTTGGGAGGCTGAGGTGGGCAGATCAGCTGAGGTCAGGAGTTTGAGACCAGCCCGGACAACACGGTGAAACCCTGTCTCTACTAAAAATACAAAAATTAGCTGGGTGTGGTGGCGAGTACTATAACCCGAGCTACACAGGGAGCTGAGACAAGAGAATCACTTGAACCTGGAAGGCAGAGGTTGTGGTGAGATGAGATTGCACCACTGCACTCCAGCTGGGGCAACATAGTGAAACTCTCTCTCAAAAAAAAAAAAAAAAAAAAATTGATGTGACAAATCTGGCAGGAAACAATATGACTATTCTTCTGGGAGTGACTTTGTCAGCTGAGCTTAGCTTCAGACTGCAGAACTGCAGGCAGACCAGTGAAGGGAGACTGAAGGCCTTTAGCTGAATTTACAGTATCTTTGCTAACTTTGCGAGTTTAGTCAAGTTGGTTATACCTGCAATTTCTTTGTCTGTAAAATCAGGATTATGGCACATTAATTCAGTTTAGTAAATACTTTTAGAGAATTCACCAGTATGTGATATTTGGTCATTCCAGTATTCATTCCAAATAATCCAAGCTTTAAAAAATAACTAAAGTCAACATGACTTGAGACAAAAATTGTTATTGTTGCCTCCCCTAAGAGTTTTAAGTGTCTAAAAGGAATTTTGCATAAGTTGACAGATTAGCAATCTTCTTTAAAAATATGTTTCTTGGCTGGGTGCGGTGGCTCCCTCCTGTAGTCCCAGAACTTTGGGAGCACGAGGCAGGCAGATCACAAGGTCAGGAGATCGAGACCATCCTGACCAACAGGGGGAAACCCTGTCTCTACTAAAAATACAGAAATTAGCTGGGTATGTTGGCGCACACCAGCTACTTGGAAGGCTGAGGCAGGAGAATCACTTTAACCTGGTAGGCGGAGGTTGCCGTGAGCCAAGATGAGTGAGCCACTGCACTCCAGCCTGGGTGACAGAGCAAGACTCCGCCTGAAAAAAAAAAAAAAAATGTTTAAGGCCAGGTGTGGTGGCTCACGCCTGTAATCCCAGCACTTTTGGAGGCCAAGGCAGGTTGATCTCTTGAGCTCAGGAGTTTGAGACCAGCTTGGGCAACATGGAGAAACACTGTCTCTACAAAAAATACAAAAATTAGCCTGGTATGGTGGTGTACGCCTGTAGTCCCAGCTACTTGGTGCAGGGAGGGGGCCGAGGCAGGAGGACCACTTGAGCCCACGAGGTTGAAGCTGCAGTGAGCTGAGATCTTGCCACTGCCCTTCCCCCTGGGTGACAGAGAGACCCTGTCATCTTTTTTTTTTTTTTTTTTGAGATGGGAGTTCCACTCTTGTTGCCCGGGCTGGAGTGTGGTAGGTCAATCTTGGATCACTGCAACCTCTACCTCCTGGTTTCAAGTGATTCTCCTGCCTCAGCCTCCTGAGTAGCAGGCAGGGATTATAGGCATGCAACACCATGCCTGGCTAATTTTGTATTTTTTAGTAGAAACAGGGTTTCTCCATGTTGGTCAGACTGGTCTCAAACTCCTGACGTCAGATGATCTGCCCACCTTGGCCTCCCAAAGTGGACTCCGTCTCTTAAAAAAATAGATATAAATAAAATTAAAATATGTTTCTTAAAAGCAAAGCTGTAGTTGTTTTTAAAAATCAATAGTATGAAAGAAAAAAAAAATCAGGGTCGGGTGCGGTGGCTCACACCTGTAATCCCAGCACTTTGGGAAACCGAGATGGGTGGATCATGAGGTCAAGAGATCAAGACCATCCTGGTCAACTTGGTGAAACCCTGTCTCTACTAAAAATACAAAAAGTTAGCTGGGCATGGTGGTGCGTGCCTGTAATCCCAGCTACTCAGGAGGCTGAGGCAGGAGAATTGCCTGAACCCAGGAGGCGGAGGTTGCCGTGAGCCGAGATCACGCCATTGCACTCCAGCCTGGGTAACAAGAGCCAAACTCCGTCTCAAAAAAAAGAAAAGAAAAAAAATCAGTAGTACAATTTAGTTCAGAAATTGTAAACTGAGAAAGGCAAAGTTGGGTGTTTGGAGAAACTTAGTACAATAATAAATAAAAGAAGCAGGAAGAGGAGAAATAACTGATTCCAACTTCCCTGTTCCTGGTGATAACAATAGCTCTTTAATCCCCACAGCCAGTCTGTTAACAGGCACCATCAGGGTTTATAACACTGAATATTTACTTGGTCTAATCATAAAGACCATGTCATGTGGACAGGGACTGAAAAGGAATAAGGAAAAACAATTTATGTCTTTGGTCTGCTATAACAGAATACCATAAACAGGTAGCTTATAAACAACAGAAATTTATTTTTCTCAGCTCTCAAAGCTAGGAAATCAAGGAGCTGGCAGATTTGGTATCTGGTGAGGGCCTGCTGTCTTGGCTCATAGACAGCCATCTTCTCCATGTGACTTCACAGGGCAAAAAGGAGCAAGGGAGCTTTCTGGAGATCTCTGTTTTTTTTTTTTTTTTTTTTTGAGATGGACTCTTGCTCTGTCGCTAAGACTGGAGTGCAGTGACGCGATCTCAGCTCACTGCGACCTCCACCTCCTAGGTTCAAGCAATTCTCCTGCCTCAGCTTCCTGAGTAGCTGGAATCACAGGCATGCCCCACCACACCTGGCTAATTGTTTTGTATTGTTAGCAGAGATGGGGTTTCACCATATTGGTCAGGCTGGTCTTGAACTCCTTACATTGTGATTCACCCGCCTTGGCCTCCCAAAGTGCTGGGATTACAGGCATGAGCCACCACTCCTGGCCGTGGAGGTTTCTTTTATAAGGGCACTAATCCCATTCATGAAGGCTCTGCCATCATGACCTAATCACCTCCCAAAGGCTCCATCTACTTACTATCATATTAGGGGTTAGGATTTCAACATATGAATTTTGGAGGGAACACAAATATTCAGTTTACAGCAGTTAGAATATAGAATCTTGGATGAATTTTTTCCATTTATAATTTTTTTCTTGTTATAACATTGTTTATGCAACAAATTAATACTTAAAAAAATATATGACCCATTGGAAGTGGTTATCTGTGAAGCAAAGTAAAGCACTTGGAAATCTGAAAAATAAAACCAGTAGATTTTCTCTGTAAGGGCAAAAAGTAATAGCAATTCCACAGTGCCTTGAAATTACACATAAATATATATAAACAGGGATCAAAGATTAGTGTGGTATATACTCAGTCTATTTAAACTGGCCTGTCATCTATCAGTTATTCATATTTGCTTTGGGTAATTACCTCTTATTACATAGCCTATAACATTGTGCCTTCCCTGTTCTAGGCTTATCATATCCTTTCAACTCCCCGTACCATCTAGCACAAAACTTAGTATATAGTAGGTCTTTTTTTTCTTGATGGAGTCTCGCTCTGTCGCCCAGGCTGGAGTGCAGTGGTGCAATCTCTGCTTATTGCAACCTCCACCTCCCAGGTTCAAGTGATTCTTATGCCTCAGCTTCCCAAGTAGCTGGGACTACAGGCTAATTTTTGTATTTTTAGTAGTGACTGGTTTTCACCATGTTGGCCAGGTTGGTCACGAACTCCTGACCTCATGATCCGCCTACCTCATGGTACCACATTACATTTAGTTATCACATCTCTTTAAGCTTCTCTTGACTCTGGCAGTCTCTCAGGATTTCCTTGTTTTTGATTAGTTTAATGGTTTTGAGGAGTACAGGTCAGGCATTTTACAGGATTCCTCACTATTGGAATCTGTCTTTCTCAGGATAATACAAGGTTATAGGTTATTGGTAGGAAGACCACAGAGATACAGTGCCCCCTGACCTTTTTTTGAGATGGAATCTCACTCTGTCACCTGGTGGGTATACAGTGGTGTGATTTCACCTCACTACAACATCTGCTTCCTGAGTTCAACCCATTCTCCCACCTCAGCCTCCTGAGTAGCTGGGACTACAAGTGTGCCCCACCACACCCAGCTAATTTTTATATTTTTTGGTAGAGATGGGGTTTCCCGCTGTTGGCCAGGCTGGTCTCGAACTCCTGACCTCAAGTCAACCACCTGTCTCAGCCTCCCAAAGTGCTGGGATTACAGGCGTGAGCCACCGTGCCCAGCTTAAAGTGCCATTTTAATCACATTATATCAAATGTGCATGTAGTCTTGGTGCTGTGGCTCATGCCTGCAATTCCAGCACTTTGGAAATCCAAGCACTTTGGAGGCCCAGTACTTGAGGTTAGGAGTTCAATACCAGACTGGGCAATATAGAGAGAGTACTTCTCTACTGGGAAAAAAAAAAAAAGCTGAGTGTGGTGACACCCTCCTGTAGTTCCAGCTACTTGGAGGCTGAGGTGGGAGGATCACTTGAACCCAAGAGGTTGGGGTTGCTGTGAGCTATGATTGTGCCACTGCACTCCAGCCTGGGCAACAGAGCGAGGCACTGTCTCTAAAAAAAAGAAGAAGAAGGAGAAGAAGAAAAGAAAAGAAAAAAGTGAAAGAAGTGTACCTACTATCAGCATGACTATCGAGGTTGGCCTTGACCCATCTGAAGTAGTGTTTGTCAAGTTTTCCCATTGTAAAGTCACTCTTTCCTCCCTCCTCCTTTCTCCCCCAACCTTATACTATACACTTTGAAAAAATGTCATTATGTGCAGCCCACACCTAAGGAGTGGGAAGTTATGTGTTATGCTCACCCCTTCCTTTTTGTCTAAATCATATTACATTTCTAATATCAAAGTGATTTTAAAGAAAACCATAAATCATGAGATGCCGACACAGAGTTCCTTTCTTTTACATGCTAAATTAAATCTAGAATCAAATCCTATTGATTATTCCTTTGAAATTTATCCAGAATCCAATAACCTCTCACCACTTACATTGCTACCATTCTGGTCCAAGCTACCATCAATCGCTCTTCTAAATTATTGCAGCAGTTTTTGATCTGGTGTCCTTGCATCTCTGCCCTTGCCCTGCTACAGTTTATTTTCAATATAGCAATCAATGGTCCTCTTAAAACCTCAAATCACAACCTCAGCCAGGTGCGGTGGATCACAACTGTAATCCCAGCACTTTGGCAGGCCAATGTGGGTGGATTGTCTGAGGTCAGGAGTTCAAGACCAGCCAGGCCGACATGGTGAAACTTCATCCCTACTAAAAATACGAAAATTAGGCTGAACGCGGTGGCTCACACCTGTAATCCCAGTACTTTGGGAGGCCGAGGTGGGTGGATCATTTAAGGTCAGAAGACCAGCCTGGCCAACATGGTGAAACCCTGTTTCTACTAAAAATAAAAAAATTAACTGGGTGTGGTGGTGTGTGCCTGTAATCCCAGATACTCAGGAGGCTGAGACAGAGGAATCGCTTCAACCTGGGAGGCAGAGGTTGCAGTGAGCCAAGATTGCACCACTGTACTCCAGCCTGGGCGACAGAGTAAGGCTCCGACTCAAAAAAAAATTCACCAGGAGGCTGAGGCAGGAGAATCGCTTGAACCTGGGTGGTGTAGGTTGCAGTGAGCTGAAATCACACCACTGCACTCTAGGGCAACAGAGCAAGACTCTGTCTCAAAAAGAAAAAAAAAGCAAATTAGCTGGGCCTTGTGGTGGGTGCCTGTAATCCCAGCTTCTCAGGAGGCTGAGGCAGGAGAATTGCCTGAACCTGGGAAGCAGAGGTTGCAGGAAGCCAAGATGGTGCCACTGCACTCCAGCCTGGGTGACAGAGCAAAACTCCATCTCAAAACAAACAAAAAAAAACAACCCTAAAATCAGATTATGTCAGTCCTGTATATAGAATCCTCCAAAGGCTTCCCATGTAACTTGAGTGCAGCCAAATCCTTATCCTGGCCTGCAAGGCTCTATATGGTCCATCAACCCCCTAACTCCTTCTCACCTCCACTTAATACTCTTCTCCTTGATCACTCTGGTCAAGACATACTGGCCTCCTGCTCTTCCTTGAAGATACCAGGAAGCTCCCACCTCAGTGCCTTTGCACTTCATGTACCCAATTGCAGTCATTGAGATGTGTCACTTATATCTCTTTCCAGAAAGAACTGTCCAATCAAGTGCAAAGAGTACAGTGTTGACAGCCTTCGGCTGTGGCCTTTGGAATCTGCCTTAGCTTTGGTGCGCGTTCTTTCTTGGAAGCCTCAGGCAGTGACTAGGCACAATAAGCATTCTAAGGCCCAGCCATTTCTGCCTAATGTGGGACTCTTCTAACGGGCAGTCTTTGTTCTGGCTCCTCACTGGGCTGGCCAACAGTTTGTCAGACATGCATAGCTGTCTGAGGCCCTTCCTGTTCTCACACTAAAGATCAGGTACTGACCATCATTCCCCTTAAAATTTGTGCCCTAGATGCCAAGATTTTTTTCAGGAAGCGCAAAATGATGCTCTATAGAGCACATATTTCTTTGCTAGTTTGATACATTTTCACTCTCTTAAAAGGGTAGATGCTTATTCTGACCAAGGCAGCCTACAAATACAGCTCAAACTAAGATATTCCCATATTGCTCAGGAAACTAACCAAAGTGGAGTGTTCAGCAAAATAAGTGACATTTCAAATCCAGACTCTGCACTAACTAGCTGTGGGATCTTAATACATTTCATCTCTTGTTAAAAAGGAATAACAGTTCTCTATTTTAGCTGTTAGGAAAAGACTATTAAAAATTGGTGGAGAAAGCACTATTACCACATTAGCTGTGTAAATAACTAAATTATCAAGGAATATTAATACGATACATACAGTCTTCCCTTTGTATCCACAGGGGATTGGTTCCAGGAACCCTAGGGATACCAAATTCTGCCCACAGATACTCAAGTCTTTTATATAAAATGACATAGTATTTGCATATAACCAATGTACAGCCACTTTTACACTTTAAATCATCTTCAAACAAAAATTAGTTGGGCATGGTGGCATGTGCCTGTAGTCTTAGCTTCTAGGGAGCCTGAGGTGGAGGTGAGTCTGGTGACAGAGTGAGACCCTGTCTCATAAAAAAAAATCACCTCTAGACTACTTATAATGAATTGTACAATACCTCACACATTGTATAATATCAAATACAGTGTACATGCTACGTACAAAGTGGTTATAATTTTAAATTAAATTTATTCGAGAGATAGGGTCTCTCTCTGTCACCCATGCTGGAATGCAATGGTCCAATCATAGCTCATTGCAGCCTCAAACTTCTGGGCTCAAGCAATCCTCCCACCTCAGCCTTCTTAGTAGCTAGGGCTACAGGCCTGTACTACCACACCCCACCAATTCTTAAATTTTCTGTAGACACAGGGTTTTGCTATATTGCCCAGCTGGTTGGTCTTGAACTCCTGGCCTCAAGAAGATTCTCCCATCTTGGCCTCAAAGTGTTGGGATTACAGGCATGAGCCACCGTATCCAACATGTGTGTCTTATTTGTATTATATTATTATCATTATTTTTGAGGCAGGGTCTTGATCTGTCATTACCCAGGCTGGAGTGCAGTGGCACAATTTCGGTTCACTGCAACCCTTTGCCTCCTGGTTCAAGCCATCCTCCCACCTCAGCCTCCCAAATAGCTAGGACTACAGGCATGTGCCATCATGCCTGGCGAATTTTTTGTAATTTTTGTAGAGATGGGTTTTTGCGATCTTGTCCAGACCGAATTTGCATTATTTTTATTGTTGTTATTTTGTTCCCCTCACCCGAGTATTTCCATTTGCAGTTGGCTGAATCTGTGGATATGTAACCCACTAACAGAGGGCTGACTATATATAAATACATAACTATCGATACCATATATAATATCAACACTAGTTGTAGAGATAGGTATATATGGTTTATAAATTTAAGTCACATTCTTTTCTTCCACTCAACGGCAATTTAAAATTTTTATGTTACTTGGCTGGGGGCGATGGCTCTCGACTGTAATCCCAGCAGTTTGGGAGGGCAAGGTGGGTGGATCACTTGAGCTCAGGAGTTCGAGACCACCCTGGTCGGTGAAACCCCGTCTCCACTAAAAATACAAAAATTAGCCTGTAACTCCAGCTACTCAGGAGGATGAGGCAGGAGAATCACTTGAACCCAGGAGGTGGAGATTGAGGTGATCCGAGATCGCGCCTTTGCATTCCAGCCTGGGCGACAGACTGAGGCTCCGTCTCAAAAAAAAAAAAAGTATGTCACTAAGACAGATGGCTTCCTAAGGAAACAAACTAGAAGAAATCTAGAACTTGAGGGTAAGCGGTCGGAAAAATAACGTAAATTTTAAAATAAAAATTAAAAAGTAAGAAACCGGAAAAACTCTAACTTCCTCTGTCTTTTGTGCTTTCAGGCAGAGTTTGAAAACTGTTCTTCTGGTGTCCACTTCCAGTCGCCGACCGACGACTGTCGTATAGAGCACTTCCGGCTTCATCAGCCAGTCGCTCCTCAGTCTACCTAGCTGGGTTTTCCATTGCACTTGCGCAAGGCCTACCCCGCCCCGGAACTTAACCGTTGACGAAATGGAGGGTTTAAATCCTCGGATTCTTGATCCTGGAGCGCCGAGTGCGCCTGCAGTTCTCTAAGAAGACTTGGGATTGGTCGAACGAGGAACGAGTGCGGGACGCTGATTGGTTGGCAAACCAATACGTCACGACGATCGTGCTCGGGGCTCCAGCACCGCCCCCGTTCCCTGACTGGCGGAGTTTCTGACCAGTCAGCAGGCGTGGCGCGGCCTTCGGTTTCGCGAGCTTGTGATTGCCGCCTCAGTTCCCGCGACCCCAACGTCCCTGAGGCGGGGCTGGAGTCGGCGGAGGCGCTTCCTGGAGTTGGTCTCTACCAACAGACCCCAGCTTTGCGGAGTTTGAGGTAAGTGGAGGTTTGTGTTTCTGGTTCCCCTGAAGGACGGCAGCGAGGCCCGGGGAAGGTTGGTGGGTAGCCTTGAAAGCCCTGTAGTGGGTTCAGTCCTCCAGGAGCCTGGAGCTGAAGACGAGAAGGGGAGCTAGTGGGAGAAATTAAACGGACCACGAATTCCCTGAGCTAAGGTATGTGAAAGAGGTTTGCAGTCGATAACGTGCCGTTTAAAGTTGTTTTTACGGTGGGAATTTCTTGAGGACTGAAACCTTGAATGCTCGCTCTTGCATTCCTCACAATTTCTGGCTCAGAGTCTGATCAGCTAATGTTTGATGTTCATGGTCTACTGGAAGTCAAGTGTAAACAGCAAAGTGCGAGAATGCGTGTTAACACAAAGACGGTAATCCCATCACCAGGGTGTCTGGGAGGTTTCACAGAGGAAGTGACATTCGAGTTGGATTGGGAGGGATGGCGGGGGTTTACCAGGGTATTCCCAGCTAAGGGGGTAGCCTGTGCAGATACTGAAACTAGGGGACTGAAAGGAGTTCAGTTTGACTGGAATGTAGGGTGAGTGGATGGGGGTTCAGGTTGGAATAATAGAGTGGGGCTGGATTGTGAAGGTCCTTTATTCTGTATATAAAGAAGAGCCATCGGCTATTATTTTTGTTTTATTTATCTATTTTTCTTATTGAGACGGGTTTCATTCTTTGGCCCAGGCTGGAGTGAAGTCATGTGATCTCGGCTCACTGCAACCTCCACCCCCTGGATTCAAGCGATTTTCCTGCCTCGGCCTCCCTAGTAGCTGGGATTACAGGAACACACCATCACATCCGGGTGATTTTTGTATTTTTAGTAGATACGGGTTTCACCATGTTGGCCAGGCTGGTCTCGAATTCTTGGACCTCAGGTGATCCACCCGTCTCTGCCTCCCAGAGTGCTGGGATTACAGGCGCCAGCCACCACGCTTGGCCTTAGACAGTTTCTTTTCTTTTCTTCTTTTTTTTTTTTTGACAGTTTCTTTTTGCTAGAATTGATACAGAATGTGCAGGACCTAAAGAACTTTAAGACTTGAAAGACTATAGGACATAATGAACTTTTAGAAAGGGCTACGAGGTCTGTGTTTTGCTTTGATAATACTTAGATGGAACTGCCCAGTGGGCAGTTAGAAATATGGATTTGAAACAGCTGGGTGTGGTGGCTCATGCCTGTAATCCCAGCACTTTGTGAGGCTAAGGCGGATGGATTACTTTAGTCCAGGAGTTCCAGACCAGCCTGGGCAATTTGATGAAACCCTGTCTCTACCAAAAATACAAAAAATTACCCAAGTGTGGTGGTGAACAGCTCTGGTCCCAGCTATTTGGGAGGCTGAGTTGGGAGGATCACCTGAGCCCAGGAGGCAGAGATTGCAGTGAGGTGTGATTGCACCACTGTACTTCAGCCTGGGCTACAGTGAAGAGAGAGAGAGAGAGAGAGAGAGAGAGAGGAAGGAAGGAGTAAAACTCAGAAGACCAGAGGATGGAAGGAAGGGAGGGAGGGAGAGAAGGAGGGAAGGAGGGAAGCAGGGAGGAAGGAAGGGGTAAAACTCAGAAGCTAAAGGTTTGCTATACATAGGTGGATATAGAAGCAGTGGGAGTGAAGGAGAGTACCCAAAAAGAGCATGTGGAGTTTATAAAAAAGAACAGTGGGGCTCAGTGTGGTGTGCCTGTAATCTCAGCACTTTGGGAGGCTGAGGCGGGCGAATCTCAAGGTCAGGAGATCAAGATCATTCTGGCCAACATGGTGAAACCCCATCCCTACTAAAATACAGAAAAAAATTAGCAGGGTGTGGTGGCGGGCGCCTGTAGTCTCAGGAGGCTGAGGCAGGAGAATATCTTGAAATTAGGAGGCAGAGGTTGCAGTGAGCCGAGATCACAGTACTGCGGTGGCTCACTCCTGTAATCCCAGAAGTTTGGGAGGCCCGGCAGATCATGAGGTCAAGAGATTGAGACCATCTTGGCCAACATGGTGAAACCCGGTCTCTACTAAAAATACAAAAATTAGCTGGGCGTGGTGGCACATGCCTGTAGTCCCAGCTACTCAGGAGGCTGAGGCAGAAGAATTGCTTGACAGCACTTTGGGAGGCCAATGTGGGTGGATCACGAGGTCAAGAGATCGTAACCATCCTGGCCAACATGGTGAAACCCCATTTCTATTAAAATTACAAAAATTAGGTGGGCATGGTGGTGTGCGTCTATAGTTCCAGCTACTCGGGAGGCTGAGGCAGGAGAACTGCTTGAATCCGGGAGGTGGAGGTTGTAGTGAGCCGAGATTGTGCCACTGCACTCCAGCCTGGCACCTGGTGACAGAGCGAGACTCCTCAAAAAAAACAAAACCAGAAAAAACTGATTTTTCCCTGACACAAGTCAATTTGTGGTAATGCAGTATTTTTTTTTTCAGCTGAAGATTCTTTAATGACTTCATTATGGAATTAATAAATACCTAGCCCAAATCATTCTTTTCTCCTGCATCATGGTTTTATGAGAATTGTAAGGCTTTTGGTCAAAATCTCATACATTTGATATTACCTGCTCTACCCAGCTCACTAAGTTGATACAAAGGTTTTGGGGCGGAATCTGAGCTTTCCTTAAGGAATAGATATATTTGTAGATTTTACTGCCTAGAATAAGTATTGACAGTAATTTATTGTCAGAATGACTCAAAAGTATGAAAATGATTGTCAGAATCTACATTTAATCTTGTTAATCTATAGTTACATTTCATATAAGTAACCTAATTTTGCCTTTAATTTTGATGTGGTTAAATTATATTTTTCTTCCTTGTTTTTATCATTCATTAGTAATATTCTCTTTAATTCTTTAGGATACTGAGGATTTGAAATTTTAAAAATCATTCACCAGATATCATGGAGCCTACATATCCTCTTGCATGGCCCCAGATGAATACCAGGTATAGAAGTATTTTTAAATATGTTTGTTTTACAGCTGTTCACATAACTTGGGAAGATAGGTTGGAAGAGAAAAAGAACAGAATCTTAAAATCAGGAAATTCTGGGACCACATTCCAGCTCTAACACTTGTTAGGCGGGTGACCTTGATCAAGTGAATTAACTAAGCCTCAGTTCCTCATCTGTAGAATGAGGATGGTCATCTGTCTCACAAAAGATTATTGTGAAGGGTTAAATAAGATTACTAAATTAGAGGGTCTAGAACATAACAGGCACTCAGTAAATACTAGTTCCGTTCCCTCTATTTTAGTTACACGGATCTTTTTATCGATGGGAAATAGTACCCATCGATTAAAAACTTCTTAGGAGGCTAAAAAATACATGGGTTTGTTTACTTCCTAAACAAGTGGGAAAGTGGTTGGGTTCCTTCTCTCTTACAAATACTAATTCTTTGATGGGAATAATTTCACATTAGACATACCAAGTTTCCTCAGATGTTCCTAAGCTTTCCTGGGGAGTAAGAGCTTGCCACCTGTCTCCCAATTTTCTCAATCTGTCATTACTATGGGAACTGGGCAAGTCGGCTTGTATTGTTTGGCTCTTTGGATTATTTATTGCTCTTTTTCCCCTAGGGAACAGCAATTAATACTGACGTGAATTTTTTTTCTTCCAAACTAGAATTGCATTCATGAATTGCCTTTATTCTCTGTAATGTCTTTCCTTGTGCCAGATGTTCTTGATGAAGATAATGGGAAATGTGACCCAAAGAGGCTATCATATTCCTTCTGCTTTAATTTTGGCCTTTGTGTTCTACCCCATTGCCATCTCTTATTTGAAAATTTGTCCGTGGGCAAGGTGGCTCATGCCTATAATCCCAGCACTTTGGGAGGCTGAGGTGGGCAGATTGCTTGAGCTCAGGAGTTCAAGATTAGCCTGGGAAATATGGCAAAACCCCACGTTGACAGAAAAATTTTGTCAACTTCTATTCTTAGAAAGGTACAGTTGTGGCCGGGCGCAGTGGCTCACACCTGTAATCCCAGCACTTTGGGAGGCCGAGGTAGGCAAATCACGAGGTCAGGAGATTGAGACTATCCTGGCCAACATGGTGAAACCCCGTCTCTAGTAAAAATACAAAAAAATTAGCTGGGCGTGGTGGTGCTTGCCAGTAGTCCCAGCTACTGAGGCAGGAGAATCGCTTGAAACCAGAAAACAGAAGTTGCAGTGAGCTGGGATCACGCCGCTGCACTCCATCCTGGCAATAGACGGAGACTGTCTCCAAAAAAAAAAAAAAAAAAGAAAGTTACAGTTGTGTAACAAGTTCAATATATTGTTTTTAATTATTAAAAAATTTTATAAGCATTATTAGTAAAAAACAAATTTTTTTTAAGTTTTGTGGGTACGTAGTAGGTGTATATATTTATGGGGTACATGAGATATTTTGATAAGGCATGCAATCTGTAATAATCACATATGGGAAATGGGATACCCATTTCCTTAAGTGTTGTGTGGCAAACAATCCAATTGTACACTTTTAATTATTGTTATTATTATTTGTATTTTTTTGGAGACAGAATCTCACTTTGTCACCCAGGCTGGAGGGCAGGGGCACCATCTATGCTCACTGCAATCTCTGCTTCCCACGTTCAAGTGATTCTTTTGTCTCGGCCACTTGAGTAGTTGGGATTGCAGGCGTGTGCCACTATGCCCAGCTAACTTTTGTATTTTTAGTAGAGATGGAGTTTCACTATGTTGGCCAGGCTGGTCTTGAACTCCTGGCCTCAAGTAATCCACCTGCCTTGGCCTCCCAAAGTGCTAGGATTACAGGGTTGAGCCGTTGTGCCTGGCCAGGAACTTATTCTTTTTTATGGCTGAATAGTACTTCGTTGTGTATAAATGTGACATTTTCTTTATCTGTTTATCTGTTGATGGACACTTAGGTTGCTTCCAAATATTGGCTATTGTGAACAGTGCTGCAGCAAACATGGATGTGCAGATATACCTTTGATATACTGATTTCCTTCCTTTTGGATATATTCTCAGCAGTGAGATTGCTGGATCATATGGTAGCTCTATTTTTAGTTAGGTTTTTTTTTTTTTTAAGACAGAGTCTCACTCTGTTGCCCAGGCTGGAGTGTAGTGGCACAATCTCGGCTCACTGCAACCTCCGCCTCCTGGGTTCAAGTGATTCTTCTGCCTCAGCCTCCCAAGTAGCTGGGACTAACGGCTCATGCCACCACACCTGGCTAATTTTTTGTATTTTTAGTAGAGATGGGGTTTCACCATGTTAGCCAGGATGGTCTGGAACTCCTGACCTCAAGTGAACCCCCCACCTCTGCCTCCTGAAGTGCTGGGATTACAGACATGAGCCACTGCACCTGGCCTATTTTTAGGTTTTTTTGAGGAACCTCCAAACTGCTCTCCATAGTGGTTATATTAATTTACATTCCCACCAACGGCATATGAGAGTTCTCTTCTCTCCATATCCTCACTAGCATTTGTTATTGCTCATCTTTTGGATAAACTGTTTTTAATTTTATTGTCAGATTGACTGTGGAGTCAAATTCATTCCTTACATTTTAGGCAAGATATATAGTCATGTCGTTTAAATTGATTATTCCTGGTTTATTTAACTCTCTAGTTTCTTTCACTTATTTAATGACCTCTGGATTTCTGTAATCTCTGGGGTTTAGGACAGCAGTTCTGATTAGTGTGTATGGGGGGAATAGCGTGTGATAGACCTCTTTGAATATCTGATAAGAGCCATAAATCTTATTCCCTAAAAAACAGCACTTATAGGCCGGACGCAGTGACTCATGGCCTGTAATCCCAGCACTTTGGGAGGCCGAGGTGGGCAGATCACCTGAGGTCAGGAGTTCCAGATCAGCCTGGCCAACATGGCAAAAACCCATCTCTACTAAAAATACAAAAATTAGCTGGGCATGGTGGCATATGCCTGTAATTCCAGCTACTTAGGAGGCTGAGACAGGAAAATCACTTGAACCCAGGAGACAGAGGTTGCAGTGGGCTAAGAATGCACCACCGCATTTTCTGGGCAACAGATTGAGACTCTGTCTCAAAAAAAAATAAATAAATAAAGACAAAGCACTTACATACATACTTGCAAAATTTTGCACCCAGCTTTGAGGCACAAGTTTGTTTGTGACTATTCTGTCATTAAAGTCTGCCTATATACTCCAGATGAAGAAAAAGACTAATAACAGCATTTATTGAAGTCTTGAAGTTGTGTCCTAGGTGCTATGATAAGAAATTTGTGTGCATTATTATTTAATCCTCACAACAAACCTATGAGACACAAGTACTATTATTTTTATTTATGTATTTATTATACTTTAGGTTCTGGGATACATTTGCAGAACGTGCAGGTTTGTTACATAAGTATACATGTGCCATGGTGGTTTGCTGCACTCATCAACGTGTCATCTATATTAGATATTTCTCCTAATGCTATACCTCCCCCAGCCCCCCACTCCCCAGGTACTATTATTATCCATATTTTTTGTTTTAATGAGGAAATTGTAGCAGGGAAAGATTAACCAACTAATTCAAGGTCATACAGTTAGTAGGTGATATAGCCAGGACTTAAAGTTGACTTGACTTCTGCTCTATACTGCTGAGGAAGTAAACCTGAAGTAGTGCAGGTTGGGCTTTAACGGTACTGTGAACTATTGAGGGTAAAAAAGAAATAGCTAACACTGAATACTTACATGAAGTAGAAATTGCTTTGAGCACTTTACATATATTGACTCATTTAATATTCACTACACCTCTACAAGGCAGTACTGATACTCCATTTAATATGAGGAAAGCAAGGCAAAGAAAAGTTAATCAATTGGATCATGATCATACAGCTAGCACATTTTGAAGCCAGGGTCTAGACCCAAGCAATTGATTTCTAGCCTCCTTGTGTTATACTGCCTCTTACTTATAGATAAGTGATAAATATGAGAGACAGAAATGACAGTCTTGTTACTTACTAGCTTTACGACTTTAACAAATTTCTTAACCAGACTGTCCTGTCTCACAATGAGGGGATTACAAATTCTTCATATACCTATTATGAACTCAGCATATATAAGGATTTGAAAACAGAGCAGAAATATGATGGAGCCAGAATTTGAACCCAAGCTCGAAACTGCTATATAATTCAGCTTCTACAAGTATAAACTTTGAAATCAGACATACTTAAATTCAGATCTCAGCTCTGCTATTAAATTGCTTTATGAAATTAGGAAAGTTATATTTTGTTATCAATAAAGTGTATGATGAAGTGTTTCTGGAACTTTTAGTGAGAAATGTACATGTAAAGTGGTATAGCTATGACTTAAAGTTGACTTCTACTCTATTGCTGAGGCAGTAAACCTGAAGTAGTGTAGGTTGGGCTTTAGAAATACTGTGGACTATGATGTAGTCCAGTGTTCAATACATATATAGAACACTGTGTGTGTGTGTGTGTGTGTGTGTGTGTGTGTGTGTGTGTGTATGTATAGTGCCAAGTAGGATGCCTAATAAATGGAAGGTGATCAGTAAACTGAGGCTAGTATTTTAGTTGAGAAGCTTCGTCAGATGATACATGAAAGTAAGAACTTTACAAAAGAAAGAGGTTTAAAAAAAAAGATCTAGAACTAGATATTCTTAGTATATGATAAATATTCTATCGGTTTAACTATTTAATCATCTCCCATCATACAAATGCATTGTTGTAGGTAGCTCTTTGTGAGAGCTTTCTTGCTTTACTTTCATGTTACTTTGGATGATATTTTTCTCTGTGGTCTTTCTCTTCCATTGTCTTTTTTTTTTTTTTTTGAGACAGAGTCTTGCTCTGTTGCTCAGGCTGGAGTACAGTGGTGAGATCTCAGCTCACTGCAACCTCTGCTGCCCCAGTTCAAGCAATTCTCATGCCTCAGCCTCCTGAGTAGCTGGGATTACAGGCATGTGCCATCATGCCCAGCTAATTTTTTTTCTGATGGAGTTTCGCCCGTGTCACCCAGGCTGGAGTGCAGTGGCGTGATCTTGGCTCACTGAAACCTCTGCCTCCTGGGTTCAAGTGATTCTTGCGCCTCAGCCTCCTGAGTAGCTGGGACTACAGGTGTACCACACTTGGCTATTTTTGTATTTTTAGTAGAGATAAGGTTTTACCATGTTGGCCATGCTGATCTCAAACTCTTAGTCTCAGGTGATCCACCTGCCTTGGCCTCCCAAACTGCTGATGTTATATATGTAAGCCCCCAGGCCCAGCCCATTGTCTTTCTCTTATTGTGGTTTTCACTTACGTAAAATGAAAACTTTTTGATGATACCCTATGTGATTTAATATTGAAACATTGCTTTACACTGCCCCTGGGATCTTTGTTGAGGAATTATTTATAATTATGTCCTTTTGATGCTTCAGTAATTAAACTTGTGCTTTATTTTGGTATTCCAAAATACCAAATTTGGAAACACTGGAAAATAATTAAGAATCTATTAAGGTTTTTTTTTGCTATTCATAACTATTGGGTATTATCTAGCAATTATCTGGACATTAGTTCAGAAAGACAGATTTTAGGCCAGGAGCCAAGGCTCATGCCTATAATCCCAATGTTTTGGGAGGCCAAGGTGGGAAGATTACTTGAAACCAGGAGTTCAAGACCAGCCTGGGGAACATAGTGAGACCACGTGTCTACAAACAATATAAAAGTAAGCCTCATGTGGTGGTGCGCATTTGTGGTCCTACCTGCTTGGGAGGCTCCATTGGGAGGATGTCTTGAACCCAGGAGTTTAAGGCTGCAATGAGCTATGACTGCATCCCTGCACTCCAGCTTGGGGAACAGAGCAAGGCGCTATTTAAAAAGAAAAAAGAATAGAAAGATTTTAGTTTTAAATTTAAATGTAAATTTATGATTTATATTCACTTTTTGTTACTTAAAAGGAATTTTATAGGATTGTCTTGTTCTTTATTTTTGAGACAGTGCACTCGCGTGAGCTGGAGTGCACTGGTGCTAGCTTAGCTCACTGCAACCTCCGCCTCCCAGGTTCTAGTGATTCTCCTTGCCTCACTCCCAAGTAGCTTGGATTATAGGTGCCTGCCACCACGCCCAGCTAATTTTTTTTTTTTTTTTTTTTTGAGATGGAGTTTCGCTCTTGTTTGTCAGGCTGGAGTTCGATGGCACGATCTCGGCTCACCACAGCCTCCCCCTTCCAGGTTCAAGCAGTTCTCCTGCCTCAGCTTCCCAAGTCACTGGGATTACAGGTATGCGCCACCATGTCCAGTTAATTTTGTATTTTTAGTAGAGATGCGGTTTCTCCATTTAGTCAGGCTGGTCTTGAACTCCTGACCTCAGGTAATCCGCCCCCCAAATTCCTTGCTCAGCCTCCCAAAGTGCTAGGATTACAGGCACGAGCCACTGCACCCCGCTTTTTTTTGTATTTTTAGTAGAGACAGGGTTTCACTATGTTGGCCAGGCTGGTCTTGAAATTCTGACCTCGTGATCCTCCCAAAGTGCTGGGATTACAGGCATGAACCAGCGTGCCCAGGATGTCTTGTTCTTTTTAAAAATCTTGTGTATATATAAATTTACATATGCATATTTAAAAAAGGACAAATACGCCAAGTTTTGAGTGCCTGTTCTCCTGATAGCAGAGTTACAAATAAATTTTCTTTTTTTAAAAATATTTTTGGGCCAGGATCGGTGGCTCACACCTGTAATCCCTGCCTTGGAGGCCGAGGCAGGCAGATCACGAGATCAAGAGATCAAGACCATCCTTGCCAACTTGATGAAACCCTGTTTCTACTGAAAATACAAAAATCAGCTGGGCATGGTGGTGTGTGCCTATAGCCCCAGCTACTAAGAAGGCTGAGGCAACAGAATCACTTGAACCCGGGAGGTGGAGGTTGCAGTGAGCCGACATCACAGCACTGCACTCCAGCCTGGTGACAGTGTGAGACTCCATCTCAAAAAATAAGAAACAGTATTTTTTTTGACCAGGCGCAGTGGCTCACTCTTGTAATTCTAGCACTTTGAGAGGCTGTGGCGGGTGGATGACTTGAGGTCAGGAGTTGGAGACCAGCCTGGCCAACATGGTGAAACCCCGCCTCTACTAAAAATACAAAAATTCGCTGGGCGTGGTGATACACACCTGTAATCCAGGGAAGCTGAGGCAGAGGAATTGCTTGAACCTGGGAGGCAGAGGTTTCAGTGATCCCAGATCACGCCACTGCACTCCAGTCTGGGTGACAGAGAGAGACTTCGTCTGAAAAAAAAAAAATACATATATATATATAATACACGTATATATATTAGATATGATATACATATATATGTATTAGGTATAATTATATATTAGGTATATATATATGTATATAGATAATATGTATATAATGTATATATTATATACATTATATCTAATATATATACGTGTATTATATATATGAACTCTTTGATAATTACAAAAGTAATCTGCAAATATCATCATTTTAAAGATAGTTAATTGTTTCATACCAAATATCTACCAAGTTTGCTATTCCTTGTGCTTTAATTTTATTGTTTTTTAAAAGGTTTCCTTCAAGCAGAATGGTACCTTTCCACTTTCCTCCATCAAAATGTGCCCTTTGGAACCCAGTGCCAACTGGAGATTTCATCTACTTACATCTCAGTTACTACAGGTATAACATGTTTCTTTTTTTCAACTCAATCCAGTATAAACAAGAGAAATAATACAAAGATGTGGCAAAGTTGGTTACTATGATCAATTACTCAGATTTTCTCTACTTTTCTTTTAGAAGGTCCCCTTAGGCTAAATTTTCCTTTTGCTGCTTCTTAACATCTGTTCTGTTCTTGTACTTTTGAGAGATAATCTTAATTTCTCAGTTTGATGCAAATTCTGAGTATTGTAGAAATTCAAAAGAGGTGAAATATAAATATTGAAAGTGTTTTTTGTGTTAGCATGATGTCTTTGTAGAACATTGAGAAGGTTAAACCAGTTTTTGACTGGATCAGATTAGAAGGAATATAAAATCTTGTGGTTACATCTAGGACATGAAAAAAGACAAGAAAGAAGTTTAGGCATAAAGTAATAGAAAATGGATCTGTTGAGGTTTTGTACATAAGAGTTACTTGTTAAAAGTAGTAGTCTTCTATTTTTTTTTTTAATTTTTTTTTTTCACCTGGGTGCAGGTGGGCTGAGGCCGAAAAGGGAATCAGCTAAAAGTAGTATCCTAAGATGAATTGTGGGGAGAGCTTAGAGTCAGCCTAGCTTCAAGATGCTTTTTTGTAATCACATAGGCGTATACTATAATGGTTTAAGGTGCTCTAACTGGGTTGGGCGTGGTGGCTTACACCTGTAATCCGAGCACTTTGGCAGGTTGAGGCAGGAGGATTGCTTGAAGCCAGCAGTTTGAAAACAGCCTGGGCAACCAGGTGAGACCTTGTCTCAATACAAAATTAAAATAAAAGTTAAAAAAAACAAAGTAAGGAAAAAAAAAAAGGTACAATAACTGGAGCCAGACTGCCTAGGGAATCAAATCCTGATTCTACTACTACCTTATTTATGTGACCTCAGTAAAGTAGCCAAGGATCAGTTTCCTTATTTATGAAATGACTGTTATAATTCCAGCTTCATAGTTCTCTTGTAGGGGTTAAATAAGACTCAGAAGCAATTGTCACAGCTTGGAATAGAAAGTGTTCCATAAATGCCATCTATTATATATAAGGACTTAGAGCAATGTGGCAGTATTCAGATCAAGAGGAAAGAATGAAACAAGCTGTTCTGAAGAAATAGTTTGTAGTATTTGATGATTGACTGAATAGAGGAACTGAAGGAAAGATACAAGTCAAAGTATTCAGGTTCAAAACTGTTTGGCAGAGAAGGGTGGTACCATTGACAAAAATAGAGAGAGCCTTATGGAAGTTCAACTAAATAACTGTTAGACCAGTTTTTATTTTTTTTATTGTTGTCTTTTTGTACATTTTGAGTAATTTCCTTTGTTTTTCAAGTGTGCTTATTTTCTCTTTAGCTATGCTTAGCTGCCATCTCACCTATTCGTTTAGGTTTTTCAAATGTGGCAGTGTACCATATATATGAAAGGATACTTATAGTATATATGCATAGTTAATGGAATAATAATACACATTTGTGTACCTGTCCCCAGTTATAACTCATTGAATTTTTACAAATTATATTTTTTATTTCTGTAAGTTTTGTATGGCTTATTTACTCAAATTTGCCTGGTCTTTTTTTCATAGTATCTTATTCCTTGCTCATATTTTCTTTTTCCTCTTACATTTTTAAAAACATTTAAATCATGCTATATTTTGTATTTAATACAGATACAGTAGTTCCCCCACTTTAGACATGGTTTCACTTTCCATTGTTTCAGTTACCCACAGTACAGTACAATACAGTATTTTGAAAGAGAGACTACCTTCATACAATTTTATTACAGTATACTATTAAAATTATTCTATTTTATTGTTATTGTTGTTAATCACTATGCCTAATTTATAAATTAAGCTTTATCATAGATATGTATGTATAGGAAAAAACATAGTAAACATAGGATTTGTTACTATCTGCGGTTTCAGACATCCGCTGGGGGTGTGGAACATGCCTCCCAGAGATAAGGGGGCACTACTGTAATGCTAATATCTGAAGCCCATATACAGTATGTAAGCAAATAGATGTGACTGTTTTCTTTTTTTTTTTTTTTTTAGGAAGGGAGGAAGGCAGGAAAGGAGGAAAGGAGGAAGGGAGGGAAGAAGGAAGGAAGGGAGGGAGGGAGGGAGGGAGAGAAGGGAAGGAAGGAAATCAAGCAATGAGAGAGACATTGCTGACCTGGATCTAGAGGTCTACAAGTTGATTTCTTTTTTTTCTTTTTTTGAGAGAAGGAAAGAAAAAAAAGGAGTGAAGGAGAGGAAGAAAAAGAGGGAGAGAGAATAGAAATGTTGCTTTATTCTAAAAAAAAATGGGTATTAATAATGACCAATCAGTGTTTCATTTAAACCTATGAGTAGGTGTGATGTGGTATTGACAAGAATGTATATTTTGTGTATTTAAAGTGGAGAGCTCTATAAGTATTTATTAAGTTTACTTGTTCCAGATCTGAGTTCGAGTCCTTGATATTCTTATTAATTTTCTGTCTCATTGAGTCTAAGTCTCTATGTATCTAGGTGTTAGGATCGTTAGCTCTTGTTGTTGCATTGATCCTTTTACCACTATATCTTTGTTGCTTTAAAATCTATTTTATCAGTTACGAGAATTGTAACTCCTGCTTTTAATTAATTTATTTATTTTTGCTCTCCATTTGGTTGGTAAATCTTTCTCCATACCTTTGTTTTGAGTCTTTATGTATCCTTGCATGTGAAATGGGTCTGGATGTAACATGCCATTGGGTTTTGGCTGTGTCTTTTGACTGGGGGATTTAGTCGATTTAAATTTGGGATCACTGCCATTTGATGTTAACTGGCTGTTTTATCCATTCCTTGATGTAAATTCTTCTTTATGCTGATGCTCTTTACTTTTTGGTATATTTTTAGAAAGGCTAATACTGGTTGTTTCTTTCTATGTGTAATGCTTCTTTCAGAAGCTCTTGTAAAGCAGACCTGGTGGTAATAAAATCTCTGAGTACTTGCTTGTTCATAAAAGATTTTATTTTTCCTTCAGTTGTGAAGCTTAGTTTGGTTGGATATGAAATTCTGGGCTGAAAGTTCTGTTCTTTAAGGATGTTGAATATTGGCCCCCACTCTCTTCTGGCTTGTAGGGTTTCTGCTGAGAGATCTGCTGTAAGTCTGATAGGCTTCCCTTTGTAATTAACCTGACCTTTCTCTCTGGCTGCCCTTAGTATTTTCTCCTTCGTTTCAACCCTGGTGAATCTAACGATTATGTGCCTTGGGGTTGCTCTTCTTAAGGAATACCTTTGTGGTGTTCTCTGTATTACCTGGGGTTGAATATTGTCCTGCTTTGCTAATTTAGGAAAATTTTCCTGAATAATATCCTGAAGAATATTTTCCAGCTTGGATTCATTCTCTCCATCGCATTCAGGTACACCTATCAAATGTAAATTTGGTCTTTTCACATAGTCCCACATTTCTTGGAGACTTTGCTCATTCCTTTTTATCCTTTTATCTCTAATCTTGTCTTCTCGTTTTATTTCATTAAGTTGGACTTTGACCTCTGATATCCTTTCTTCTGCTTGAACAATTTGAGTGTTTAAACCTGTGCATACTTCTTGGAGTTCCTGCATTGTATTCTTCAGTTCCACTAATTCACATATTCCTCTCTAAGTTGTCTATTCTCATTAGGATTTCGTCAAACCTTTTTTCAAAGCTCTTAGTTTCTCTACATTGGGCTACAACATGTTCTTTTAACTCACAGAAGTTTCTTATTATCCATCTTCTGAAGCCTGATTCTATTAATGGGATGTGCTCGTTCTCCATCAAGTCTTGTTCCCTTGTTGATGAGGAACTGTGATCCTCTTTAGAGGGAGAGGCATTCTGATTTTGAGTATTCTCAGCCTTTTTATGCTGGTTTCTTCCCATCAATGTAAATTTATCCACCCGTCGTCTTTATAATTACCAACTTTCAAATTAGGTCTCTGAGTGGACGTCCAAGTTGTTAATTCTCAGGGCCGAAATATGAGCAACCCACTGCGCTGGCCAAAACAGCGTTGTTAAGACTGATGGTGCTTTTCTGCCCGGGAATCTCCAGTCTGGCTTCCTTCTTGAGTCCATAATAGGCGACTCTGCCTTCCCAGAGCTCCAAATGTTGGTCAGAAGGGGAACCAGTCCTGTTTACTCTGCACCAAGAGCTGCTGCGCCAAGGTGCTGACACAACCGCTGCGCCGGCCACAAGAGTCGTGCTGGCAACCCGTGTGGCTCCTCCAAACCTCGGTCAGAAGGGGAACCAGTCCCATTTACTCTGCACCAAGAGCTGCTGTGCCGAGGTGCTGGCGAAACCGCTGCACCGGCCACAAGAGTCGCGCTGGCGACCCGTGGGGCTCCTCCACTGGGAATCTTCTGCTCTGTGAGCGACCAAAATTTGTCTGAAAGTGTGGTGTCCTCTCGTCCTCTGAGCTTTCACTGGGAGCTGCAATCCCGAGATGTTAGCGATCAGCCATCTTGGACCGTTCCTCAGATGTGACTGTTTTCAATCAAAATTTACTTACCAAAATAGGAGACCTACCTGCTGACTTCATAAAGCTAACAAAATGCCTGGAGAACAACTATAGTTTCAATGTCTGTTTATTGCCACTCTAGTTTCTAGGTTGCCATCCCTATCCTCTGCTTTTGATCCTGGGATTTTCTGACAATGATCTCTTTGTACGGTTTTTAAAATGTGTGTTATAATTTAGGCAACATTTTATGGCAGGAGGGTTTTTTTTTAAGATATGAGTTCCACCATATTCATAAAAGAATTGTTGTTTTTCAGAAATCCAAAGCTTGTGGTGACTAAAAAGACCATCCAACTTGCTTATCGTCATGCTAAGCAGAATAAAAAAAATTCGTCATGCTTTTTACTTGGTTCTCTGACAGTAGACGAAGGTAATACACTTATAAAAATTGACCAGTGCTCACTCCTGTAATCCCAGCATGTTGGGAGGCTGAGACGGGAGGCTGAGGTAGAAGGCTGGCTTGAATCTAGGAGTTCAAGACCAGCTCGCATAACATAAGGAGACCCCATTGACACAAGGAAACATTTTTTAAAAGTTACTTGTATGACTGCAATTGAATTTATTGGTTTGGCCAACTATTTATTGTATTTGCTTTGTGCTAATTTTCTTTGCTGTGTACCGAGGATATGAAGATGAATGAAACTATCAATTACAGACTTTACTATCTGGTCACATGGAAGACTATATAAGCAAATAAGAGTTTTGTATACTATTGTAAGAGTTTAGTATATGGTAAGATTTTAGTTTAATACTTAAAAGTTTAGTAATACTATTGGTGTGAACAAAGTACTTTCCTAAATGTAGCCTTGCTTGGTTGATTTTGCATAGTATGCTATATCATGGCTGTTTTTTTTTGTTCTACAGATGAAGAAGGTGTGACATTGACAGTAGATCGCTTTGATCCTGGTCGAGAAGTACCTGAATGCTTAGAAATAACCCCTACTGCTTCTCTTCCTGGGGACTTTTTGATTCCATGCAAAGTTTATACTCAAGAACTTTGTTCTAGAGAAATGATAGTTCACAGTGCAGATGACTTTAGTTCAGCTTTAAAGGTGAGATTCATTGATCACTTGATTATTCTTAATTCAACACAAGAATCAAACTATGTTTAGTATGCTGTATTTTAGTAAACCCATATTTGAGAATTGTTAATAATTTGATTGGATTATTGTGGGCCTAAAATACACCTAAATGTGTTTCTAAGGGCAAAAATTTTAGGTAAGTGATATGAGTGGCATTTCAGAAGAAGCAGTGTAATCAAGATAAGAAAATTCAAGATATACTAAGGGTAATGTTTAGGGTATACATTTTTGCTGAATTTATGGGTAGTCAGACTGGAGTATTAGTTTGGTCAGATTACAGAGAGCCCTGGCCGGGCACGGTGGCCCATGTCTGTAATCCCAACACTTTGGGAGGCTGAGGCAGGTGGATCACTTGAGCCCAGGAGGCTGAGAATGCAATGAGCTGTGATCACACCACTGCACTCCAGCCTTGGTGGGAGCAAGACCCTGTCTCAAGAAAAAAGAGCCTTGTCTGCCAGCCTAAGGAATTTGAACTTTGTTATGTGGATCATGTAGTAATCGAAGATTCCTGGAAAAAGGAAATACTGTGAAATCAGAAATAGTTAACCTGATAGGCTGGGCTGACTGAAGTTAGAGAGAGTAGTCATTGTAGTAATCGGGTGGGTATGTATTACAGAGGGATTGATTAACCTATAGTACAATGGTAGCAGTGAAACTAGGAAGGACATAGTGGACACGAGCAAATACAGAGGGAGAACTAACTTGACAATTTGTGGTAACAAGAAAGGAATCAAAGAGGAATGGACTTTAGATTCTCTGAGACTGAATCAGAATTATTTTATCAGGCCAGGTGTGGTGGTTCACACCTGTAATCCTGGCACTTTGGGAAGCCAAGGCGGGTTGATCACTTGAGGTCAAGACTTCAAGACCAGCCTGGCCAACATGGTGAAACCCCGTCTCTAGTAAAAGTACAAAAAATTAACTGGATGTGGTGGCACACACCTGTAATACCAGCTGCTCAGGAGATGGAGGCAGGAGAATTGCCTGAACCTGGGAAGGGGAGGTTGCATTGAGCTGAGATCCCACCACTGCACTCCAGCCTGGGCAAGAAAGCAAGACTCTGTCTCAAAAAAACCAAAAAGATTTATTTTATTGCCATTTTTTCCCCATGTAGTAAATATTTATTGGGGGTAACTACCCAATAAGACTTAAGTGCTGCTAGAATATTTACAATGGGAATGTGTAATTGAGCTTGGGACAGTAAATCTTACTTTCTTTGATATAATTATTCACATAATCTTTTGGTCACATAGAGTAAATGGGAACTGAAATGTTGTAAATCAGAACTCATTTAATTTCATTAGTGTAAGATATTACATATATATATGTACCAGTATAAAATAAACTTTAGAGATATGGACATATTTCAAAGTTTTAAAATAATTATTTAATATTGATTTCTCAGGCTCTACAGTGCCATATATGTAGCAAAGATTTCTTGGACTGTGGTAAGCTGCTTTCCCTAAGAGCTCATATCACCTCCAGGGAGAATTTGGACACTGTGGATTTTGACTTGCATTGGGCAGCAGTAACTCTAGCAAATAATTTTAAATGCGCACCTGTGAAGCCTATCCCCATTATTCCAACAGCTCTGGCAAGAAATTTGAGCAGTAATCTGAATATTTCTCAAATTCAAGGGACTTATAAATATGGGTAAGTAAAAGATACATTAATCTAAATTAGTTGGATTAGTATATTTTCAGAGTGTCCATGTAATATGAAATAATGTTGCAGTTTATTTGCCAGAGATACAGTGGCTTGGTCAATAACTAGGGAAAGTAAAAAATGAAGTTGTTTATTTTTGTTGAATATAAAGCTTTTTTTAAGTTGTGCCACCACCTACAAAAAATTGGTAGTAGGGCCCAGCACGATGGGTCATGCCTATAATCCCAGTACTTTGGGAGGCCCAGGTGGGCGAATTACCTGAGGTCAGAAGTTGAGGATCAGTCTGGCCAACATGATGAAACCCCTTCTCTACTAAAAATACAAAAATTAGCTGAGTGTGGTGGTGCGCAGCTATAGTCCCAGCTACTTATGAGGTTGAGGTGGGAATATTGCTTGAACCTGGGAGGTGGTGGTTGCAGTGAGCCAAGATCTCACCACTGCACTCCAGCCTGGGCAAAAGAAACTCTATTTCAAAAAAAAAAAAAAAGACAAAATTGAGTGGGCATAATGTATAATGTCTGGAGAACTCAGTTCTTTTTTGAGATGGTGTCTTGTTCTGTCACTAGTGCAGTGGAGTGATCTCAGTTCGCTGCAACCTCCACCTCCCAGGTTCAGGCAATCCTCCTGCCTCAGCCTCCCAAGTAGCTGGGATTACAGGTGCATGCCACCACACCTGGCTAATTATTGTATTTTTTTTTCTTCTTTTTTTTTTTTTGTTTCTGTTTTCAATGTTTCCAGCTGATAATTTTTGTATTTTTAGTAGAGTTGGGGTTTCACCATGTTGGCCAGACTGGTCTTGAACTCCTGACTTCAAGTGTTTTGCCTGCCTTGGCCTTCCAAAGTGCTGACTTTACAGGCATGAACTACTGTGCCCAGTCTTGAAGACCTCAGTTCTTAAAAAAAAAAAAATATTGTAATCTGTCATGAGAGTGAAAAAAAAAAGGTGGTGGTAAAAATTATATTAAAATTGGTTGATTATTTCAAAATGTAAGGAGAAATTATGTTCTATATTGTATATTCTATATTGTTCTTCATATTTTATTTAGGTTTTAGGTCATTTTTTTCTTAACTATAAACTGACTAATTACAAACCCAAGGGAGGCTAGTGAATTTATTTATAGTATGTGGTTTTAACTGTGAATCATGAGCATTGCAGATAGAGAAAGGAGATAATTAAATAAAAAGTTACAGTACTCTTACTTACCGAGTTGCCAGCTACTTGAGGGTGGAGTTTCCTCACAGAGCCGCATTAGAATCCTCTCCAGTTTTTAATCCCCACTCTTAGTTTTTTAGAAAATATAAGCCAAAAATGCCTGCTTTCTAATCCTCAGCAGGGCTGCTTCCCTGAATCTTCATCTTTTTTTTAAAATCTATTGTCTACAAAACTAGGTTAGACAATGTAAGCACTCTCTGCTTTAAAGTTTGACCAGAGGCCACTCCAAGTATTACACTTCTGGCTTCCTTTCCCAGTGACTCCACCCTAGTTCCTGTTAAGCCTTTAGATCTAAAAATGTTTGCCAAAATACACTCAATTCCAAGCCTTATTCTCTAAAAATACCTCTTCAGAACCGCATTCTCCTGAGTGGTGCTTTCTGATTGGAGTGGCCCAAAGAAAAAATTGTTGGCATATTCCAAAATCATGGAATGGTCAAAAGTGAGCAAAAAATGTTTGAGTTAAATGAAACATTTAATTGTCTTGAAGTAATAAAGTACTTCTCAAAGAGGACATGGGATTTTTTATTTAAATTAACAAGTTAATTTGTTTTCCTTAGTACCCATGCCCATTTACTTGTGTAGCATGAATTTACCTTTCTTGGAATTATCCATCTGTGACTGCTGGGCATGTTGTAATAACCAGGATGTTCAGTATTCTATTCAATCACCTATTCCCCTTGCCCCTTCCGATCTAGAATCATCTGTCAAATTTGTGGCATTTGCTATGCTAGGTGCAATGGCACACACCTGTATTCCCAGCTGCTTGGGAGACTGAGGCAGGAGGATGGCTTGAGCTTCAGATTTTGAGGCTGTAGTGAGCACTGAATAGCCACTGCTCTCCAGCTAGGACAACATAGTGACACACCATCATTTAAAAAAGTTGACATTTGGCCAGGTGCAGTGGCTCACGCCTGTAATCCAAGCACTTTGGGGGCCAAGGCTGGTGGATCACCTGAAGTTGGGAGTTCAAGACCAGCCTGACCAACATGTTGAAACCTCATCTTTATTAAAAAAAAAAAAAAAAAAAAAAGTTGACATTTGCTCTTTATACACCCTAATATTTACTAGGTCCCATTATGAAATAGGTATTATGTTAGACATTGGAAATAAATAGATTAAAAATTATGCTTATCATCCATTGAATATGTTGATATCTAAGCATGGTGTTTTATAATGGAGGTTTATATACAGTGCTAGGAAAGTTGGAGGTGGGGAATGTCCAATTTGCCTGGGGAAATCATGGAAAGCCTGAACTAATTCTTTTAAGGAGTAGGAATTTATCAGATGGGCAAGACCTGAGGGAGAACTTTCAAAGTAGATGTGTCACTGTTGATATGTAAATCTTATGCCAACTCAGGCTTAGTATTCTTGTCACAAGACCTGACAAATGTATTGTCTTTGTGTTTTAGTGTTATTATAGCAATACAATGTATCATCAGTGGTACTTCCAAGGCTTTATATCACTAATGGCATTGTTTTTGTTTTTGAAACAGTCTCACTCTGTTCCAGGCAGAGCAGTGGCGCAATCTTGACTTACTGCAACCTCTGCTTCCTAGGTTCAAGTGATTTTCCTGCCTCAGCCTCTTGAGTAGCTGGGATTACAGGAATGCACAATGATGTCTGGCTAGTTTTATTTTTGTATTTTCAGTAGAGACTGGGTTTTGCCATGTTGGCCAGGTTGGTCTTAAACTCCTGACCTCAAGTGATCCGCCTGCCTAGGCCTCTGAAAGTGCTGGGATTGCAGGTGTCAGTCACCATGCCTGGCTCACTACTGGCGTTGTTCTTAAAGTAAGACATAACAATAAAATTAACAATTCTACTTTTTGTTTTTGTATTCTAACTTACTGTTAATAATAAATATAATAAATATAGTATAATGTCCTTTTAGGGAAGAGTGAGCTTTTGGGTTTTATTATGATGGTTCCAAAGTCCTTTGACAGTGGTTGGAGGAATATGGTACATGGAAGGTTGATTATACCTCTCCTAATTCAGCCTCCTTCTGTTAGAAGTCACATCTGGTGCAGTCTTGTCAAATCACTTGGATGCATGAACATTTTCCGGTAATAGGGAATTCACTTCTCCTAAGGAAACCTCTTGGTTCTGAAATTGCCTGCCTTAATGTTAACACTCTTGATTAAAGTAAATTGTAAATAAAGTTATAGAGCAAAACTTTAAAAAGGTATGTAATCTTCAGTGTCCATTTTAATGTATAAATGGAAGTTTTAAGGTATTAAATCTCTTTAATTTCTTCCTCTTACCAGTCTTTTTTACTGAGTCAAATACTTTGAACTGTTTCTTTTGTGTGTGTGAGACAATGTTCATTTGAATTATCTCCCCTGTCTTAAGTATTCTTCAATGTTTAGATTATGTCTTTTAGGTAAAAAGTACATACTTTTAGTTACTTTCACGTGAATATCTTCTGTTTAGATATCTTACCATGGATGAAACACGAAAATTGTTACTTTTGTTGGAATCTGATCCCAAGGTTTATTCTTTACCATTAGTGGGAATGTAAGTATTACATTATTTATGAAAGCCTTATCAGCCAAATGTTCAAATGTATATGATAAGCATGTGTCTCACTTGTACTATGCATATTTAGATCATTTTATAAAGCCACAAAGGCAAGTAGTTTTCAGGTTTTCTTTTTTGAGACAGAGTCTTGCTCTGTCACCAGGCTGGAGTGCAGTGGCACAACCTCAGTTCACTGCATCCTCCGCCTCCCAGATTCAGGCAATTCTCCTGCCTCAGCCTCCCAAGTAGCTAGGACTACAGACTAGCACCATTATGCTCAGATAATGTTTGTATTTTTAGTAGAAGCAGATTTCACCATATTAGCCAGGATGGTCTCGATCTCCTGACCTTGTGATCCACCTGCCTCGGCCTCCCAAAGTGCTGGGACTACAGGTGTGAGCCACTGTACCTGGCCAAGTTTTCTTATTTTACTAGTAGAATCAGCTAAAACAAGATTTTGCCCAATGTCTCTTTTTTTTTTTTTTTTTTTGAGATGGAGTCTCCCTCTGTTGCCCAGACTGGAGTGCAGTGGCAAGATAACGGCTCACTACAACTTCTGTCCCCTTGGTTCAAGTGATTCTTGTGCCTCTGCCTCCCAAGTAGCTGGGATTACAGGCATGCACTACCATGTGTGGCTAATTTTTGTGTTTTTAGTAGAAAAGGGGTTTTACCATATTGGCCAGGCTGGTCTCAAACTCCTGGCCTCAAATATCCACCCACCTCAGCCTCCCAAAGTATTGGGATTACAGGCGTGAGACATCATGCTAGGGCCAGATTTTGCTCAATCTTAGGAAGAACTCCAATATATAAAAGTTGAATTCTATGGCCGGGCATGGTGACTCATGCCTGTAATCCCCGCACTTTGGGAGGCTGAGGCAGGCAGATCACCTGAGGTCAGGAGTTCAAGACCAACCTGGCTAACATGGTAAACCCCATTTCTACTAAAAATACAAAAAATTAGCTGGGCGTAGTGATTCACATATGTAATTTCAGCTACTAGGGAGGCGGAGGGAGGAGAATTTCTTGAACCTGGGAGGCAGAGGTTGCAGTGAGCCGAGATCGCACCATTGCATTCCAGCCTGGGATTTTTCAGCCAGAATCTGTCTCAAAAAAAAAAAATTCAAATATTCATATGCAGAAAAATAAAGTATATGATTTACTATAAAATGACCAGTATAGAAAGTGAACACTTAGTATTTGTAAGAAAGATATGATAGGGAGCATTTTCCTAGAGAAGACAAACTTGAGCTAGAGCTTTAATTATTTGGACAGTAGAAGGGAAGATTGATGGGGAAGGGAACCCATGTAAGGGAATGGCACATGCAAAGTGAATTATAATGCACAAATGTTCTCTAGACCATGAAATCTACTTACAGTTTGCTGTAGTATAGGCAATGGGTTGTTGATGCTTAAGTAAATATTAAGAGCTTTCTGTGTTTTTGACTACCTATATGAGTTATAGTATTTAATCCTCAGCAACTCTGTGAAGTAGTTTTAGGCTACAAACTAGTCTGTACTATGTCAGCCCATTCTTTACAGTCTAAGCTAATTCCTTCTAGTATACTGCTTTCATCTCTGTTAACCATTTTCTTTGCCACACCTCGGGTAGAAGAGGACAGAGATGCACGTGCTTGCTCTCTTTCTTTCTCTCTAGATATATAGCTATATGTCTGTCTCTATATATATCGATATAGTTATGTAGATATAGATGTCTATATATTTTTCCTCTTAATGATCACCATGGTGTGGTGTTTTTAGATTTCTTATTAGTAAGGCTCCTTAATGTATGGCTGATAAAAGCCATACATCTACCTTATTATCTTAGGACGAATGTAAAGTATGCTATATATGTAAATGACTATGGTTTTTAATTTCAATCTTTTTCTTTCAGTTGGCTATCTGGAATTATACATATCTATAGTCCTCAGGTATGGGCTTGCTGTTTGCGATACATATTCAATTCTTCTGTTCAAGAAAGGCAAGTGATATTTTATTCCATAGTACTTTATTTTGATCTTTCCCCCCATTCATAGTTTATGGTCTCATTTAAAATTCATGTAATGCCTTAACCTTTTACAGTACTTATAATAAACACGTACATTAAGAAAAAACAAGCCTTATATTAAATGAGAATAAAACGAGATTTAAAAAACAAACAAACGTAGAGATTATCTCCTATAGCATCCTGTTTTATAATTAAGGGGGATAACTTTCAGTGAAATGACTGAAAATGAGTTTGAATTTGTTACCCTACTGGTGTTTTATTAAGTTACACAGTGTTACTACTAATACACCAAGAAATATTTGAGACAAGATTTTTAATTTCCTGGCACTGAAGCCTAAGCATTGGAATTAATAGTTAGGGAAACTTTACTTTTAACCTCAACTCATTTAATTTTAGTTTGTACATAATGCCAATATTTGTCTCTTACATTCTTTGTCTATTAAATGAGAAGGTCTATTTTTATCTACCTTGGGTGGCTATAAAAGACTTCAAAAAACAAACTATATTGAAAAGTCAATAAAAGTACATGGTAATAAATTGATGTACATAAATATATACAATAAAAGTACAACTCTCTTCCACCCCATTTCCTAGACCCTGTTTTTAGAGGCAATCGATACTAAGTGGTATCTTGTGCTTCCTTCCTGAAATATTCAGTACATAGACAAGTATCACCTTTTCCTGGCCTGTAAAAATTGAACCACAAGTGGAAACATAGCATCCTTCCTTTTCTTTTTTTTTTTTTCCCCCCTTGAAATGGAGTCTCACTCTGTCCCCCAGGCTGGCGTGCAGTGGTGTGATTTCAGCTCACTGCAACCTCTGCTTCCTGGGTTCAAGCGATTATCTTGCCTCAGCCTCCTGAGTAGCTGGGACTACATGCATGCGCCACCATGTCCGGCTAATTTTTGTGTTTTTTAGTAGAGAGGGGGTTTCACTATATTTGACAGGCTGGTCTTGAACTCCTGACCTCTCATGATCCATCCTCCTCAGCCTCCCAAGGTGCTGGGATTATAGGCGTCAGCCACCACGCCCAGCCCAGCATCCTTTCTTTTCTGTATGTTGCTTTTTTCTGTATGAATTATACCTTGGAGATCATTACATGTTGGCATATACAGATTTAATGTATATATTTTAGAACTGAACAGTATATAAATATTGTATTTTTAAAACTGGCTCTTTAGTCTTGCAGATAGTGGTAGACTGAACACTTTATGTATACATCTTTGTGTGCATATGCTAGTGTATTTGTAGGATAAATTTCTAAAAGTGTTTTTTTTTCTTGGCCAAAGAGTATGTAATTTTAAATTTGGTAGATATTGCCAAATTGCCCTTCAAAAAGACTGCACCAATTTATAATTTTTCCAGCAGTACATAAGAGTGCCTTTTTTCGAGGCTGGGCGCAGTGACTCACGCCTGTAATCCCAGCACTTTGGGAGGCCGAGGCGGGTGGATCACGAGGTCAAGAGATCGAGACCATCCTGGTCAACAAGGTGAAACCCTGTCTCTACTAAAAATACAAAAATTAGCTGGGCATGATGGTGCACGCCTATAGTCCCAGCTACTCGGGAGGCTGAGGCAGGAGAATTGCTTGAACCCAGAAGGCAGAGGTTGCGGTGAGCAGTGATCATGCCATTGCACTCCAGTCTGGGTAACAACAGCGAAACTTCCTCTCAAAAAAAAAGAGTGCACTTTTTTCTCACCTGCACTAACACTGTGGAAGAAATATTTATTGAGCACCTAGTATCTATTATGTTCACGATATTGGGGATGACAGTAAACAAAATAAAAGTCTCCAGACAGGCATGGTGTCTCACAGCACTTTGGGAGGCTGAGATAGGATTGCTTGAGGCCATGTGTTCCAGACCAGCCTGGGTACCATAGCAAGACTTTGTCTCTACAAAAAAAAGAAAACAAAGTTAGCCGGGTATAGTGACACATGCCAGTAGTCCCAGCTATTCAGGAGGCGGATATGGGAAGATTGCTTGAACCCAAGAGTTCAGGCTGCAGTGAGCCATGATTGTGCCACTGCACTCCAGCCTGGACAACACAGTGAGACCCTGCTAAAAAAAATAAAGTAGGCTGGGCATGGTGGCTCACACCTGTCATTCCAACACTTTGGGAGGCTGAGGTGGGCGAATCACTTAAGGCCAGGAATTAGAGACCAGCTTGGCCAACGTGGCAAAACCCCATCTCTACTAAAAATGCAAAAATTAGCCAGGCCTGGTGGAGCACACCTGTAATCCCAGCTACTTGGGAGCCTGAGGTAGGAGAATCACTTGACTCTGAGAGGCAGAGGTTATAGTGAGCTGAGATTGCACCACTACACTCCAGCCTGGGTGACAAAAAAATAAAATAAAGTCCTGCAGAGATAGGTAATAAACAGAATAAGTAAAATAAATAGGATATTAAAAGGGGATAAGTACTGTGGAGAAAAATAAAGCCAGAGAAGAGGATGCTCTGTGTCTGAATGATAGTGGCAGGTAAAGAGTTGCAATTTAAATAGGTGATCAGGGAGGTAAAGACTTGAAATGAGAGTAAGCCATGTGACTATCTGGGGCACTGTCCTGGGCAAAGGATGTGTTGTATAAGGGCCCTGGGTGAAAGATCACCTTACATCTTCAAAGAACAGCAAAGAGGCCACTGTAGCTAGAGAGGAGTGAAGGAAGAGGGGAGTAACAGGAGATGAGCTCAGAGAGGTAAGTGGAGGGCTGATGTTAAAATTTGACCTTTGCTAATCTGATAGACGAAAAATAATCTTTTCCAGTGTTTTATAACATCATCTTCTAGGAACTGCCTAGTCATGTCTTTGGTCATTTTTCTCTTAAGTTGTACATCTTTTCATATTGCTTTGTAAGAGCTAGTTTGTCATAGCAAGCTCTCTCTCTATGTATAATATGCCTGTAATCCCAGCTACTTGGGAGGCTGAGGCAGAAGAATTGCTTAAACCCAGGAGGTGGAGGTTGCAGTGAGCTGAGATCATGCCATTGCACTTCAGCCTGGCCAACAAGAGGGAAGCTCTGTCTCAAAATAAAAAAAATACAGGGAGAAATATATATTTGTAATATATAGCAAAAGTTTCCCCCCATATTGTCATTTAAGTTTGTTTAACAGTATTTTTCCTGGCCGGGCAAAGTGGCTCACGCCTGTAATCCCAGCACTCTGGGAGGCTGAGGTGGGTGGATCACCAGATCAGGAGTTCGAGATTAGCCCAGCCAATATGTTGAAACCCTGTCTCTACTAAAAATGCAAAAATTAGCCAGGTGTGGTGGTATGCACCTATAATCCCAGCTACTCGGGAGACTGAGGCTGGAGAATCGCTTGAACCTGGGTGGTGGAGGTTGCAGTGAGCCGAGATCGCGCCATCGCGTTCTAGCCTGGGCAACAGAGCGAGACTCTGTCTCAAAAAAAAAAAAAAAAAAAATTATTTTTCCCAAATAGACTTACTGTTTTTTGGTCATATTTATTAATATTTTTTCCTATCATGCTTAGGAAAGATTCACCCACTCCAAGTGTATTTACTGAAGTAAAACAATTACTTGTATTTTCTTCAGATGGCTTTGGAGTTCTACTTTTTACATTTTAACTTTTCAAGATAATTAGTTACATTTAGATAGCAGAAATTAAATGTTAGTTTTAGATTCTTTGCTATGATTTAGTAAAGTTTTATTATCAATTCCTGATGCTGCTTTAAGTTCATATCAACAGTAAAATCCTCAGTAAAATTAATTTTGAATTGCTCTCTTATTTTTTTTTTTTTCTTTTTTAGACAGAGACTCGCTCTGTCATCTAGGCTAGAGTGCAATGGGGTGATCTTAGCTCACTGCAACCTCCCCCTCCCGGGTTCAAGCTATTCTCCCTGTTTCAGCCTTCGGAGTAGCTGGGATTACAGGCACCCGCCACCACGCCTGGCTAATTTTTGTATTTTTAGTGGAGATGGGGTTTCACCATGTGGCCAGGCTGGTCTGGAACTCCTGACTTCGGTGATCTGCCCACCTCAACTCCCAGAGTGCTGGGATTACAGGCGTGAGTCACTGTGCCCGGCCACGACATAAGTTTAAAATAATGCAGTCAGAACCAAGAAAAGTCCTGTTGCCCAGGCTGGAGTACAGTGATGTGTTCATAGCTCACTGCATCCTCAAACTCTTGGGTTTAATTCTCCTACCTCTGTCTCCTTATTAACTGGGACTACAGATGTGAGCCACCAGGCCCAACTAAGTTAAAAAAAATTTTTTTTTTTTTTTTTTTGTAGAGAAGAGGGGTCTCGCTATGTTGACCAGGCTGGTCTTAAACTCCTGGCCTCAAGCAATCCTCCCACCCTTGGCCTCCCAAAGTGGTGGGCCCCAGTTTTTGAACAAATACTGGAACTTTTAGTCTATTTTGTTAATTAGATTGAGAGACTCACATGAAGTTATTTGAGTGTAATCGTGTTATTCTCATTAAATTTTAATTAAATGGCATTTTTTTGTGCAGGGTTTTTTCAGAATCTGGAAATTTCATCATAGTTCTCTATTCTGTGACACATAAGGAGCCTGAGTTTTATGAATGCTTCCCTTGTGATGGCAAGATACCTGACTTTCGGTTTCAGTTGCTAACCAATAAGGAAACATTACATCTCTTCAAAGTAAGTGATTTGATTATCTAGTACATTATCGACTGTTTAGGGTTCTGCACATTGGCAGTTTAAACGCAACAACTTTTACCCTTTAAAATAGTAATCCAAACTATTATGCTTTGTTTACTTATAAATAATCTTATTAAATACTAACTTTATTCATTTATGGTTAAATTTCTTTAATAAATCTTAGATTACATTTTCAACCAAATTATAATGACAACCAGAGGTTACCCACAGAATAATGGCCATGTTTTTCTAAAATCTTTGAAGAATATATCAGTTGTTCATATGTTCTATCATTTTATACTTTAGAAGGTTAACTTTGTGGGATCTCAATACTTTGTCCTGACTGCCTTTTTTTTTTTTTTTTTGCAGCAGCAGTCTCACTCTGTCACTTAGGCTGGAGTGCAGTAGTGTGATCTCGGCTTACTGCAACCTTTGCCTCCTTGGTTCAAGTGATTCTCCTACCTCAGCTTCCTGAGGTAGCTGGAATTACAGGCACCCACCTCCATGCCCAGCTATTTTTTTTTGTATTTGCAATAGAGACAGAGTTTTACCATGTTGCCCACACTATTCTCAAACTCCTGACCTTAGGTGATCCACCTGCCTTGGCCTCCCAAAGTGCTGGGATTATAGGCGTGAGCCACCGCACCTGACTGTGACTGTATTATTTTAAAAATGTGTGGGAATAACAAATGGTTTTTTATACTTAAAGTCTATTATTTATGTTATATATCTAAAGAATCAAAATAGATTGTTACTATATCATCTAATAAGATATCTAGAAACACAACTAGGTGATGATCATAGAAAAAGTAGATCTTTAGTCCAGACATGGTGGCTTACACCTGTAAACCGAGCACTTTGGGTGGCCTAGGCAGGTGGATCACCTCAGGTCGGGAGTTTGAAACCAGCCTGGCCAACATGGTGAAACCTGTCTCTGCAAAAGATACAAAAATTAGCCTGGCATGGTGGCAGGCACCTGTAATTCTAGCTACTCAGGAGGCTGAGGCAGGAGAATCGCTTGAACCCAGGAGGCAGAGGTTGTGATGAGTGAGCCGAGATTGCCATTGCACTCCAGCCTGGGCAACAAGAGCAAAGCTCTGTCTCAAAAAGAAAAGAAAAAAAGTAGATATTTGAAACTAGATGTCATTATATGAAAATATTCAAAGGCTGTTTTTCAGTAAAATTATTGGTTATTTTAGATCTCAGACCAATAATAAAAGTACATTTTGGCCAGGCGCGGTGGCTCAAGCCTGTAATCCCAGCACTTTGGGAGGCCGAGGCGGGTGGATCACGAGATCAAGAGATCGAGACCATCCTGGTCAACATGGTGAAACCTCGTCTCTACTAAAAATGCAAAAAAAATTAGCTGGGCACGGTGGCATGTGCCTGTAATCCCAGCTACTCGGGGATGAGGCAGGAGAATTGCCTGAACCCAGGAGGCGGAGGTTGCGGTGAGCTGAGGTCGCGCCATTGCACTCCAGCCTGGGTAACAAGAGCGAAACTCCATCTCAAAAAAAAAAAAAAAGTACATTCTTTTTTATATTAGAAAAATATTGAATACCTCTAAATACCCATGTGTTTCCACTCAGATCTTATTTAGTACCTTCTTGGAGATCATGTAAAGGTTATAAATTTGTATATTTTATATAAATATATTTTATATTATATATTTCATATTATATAATATACACAATATATTTTATATATTATGTTATATATAAATGTTTATATATAATTACATATATTTTAACTATAAATATAATCTTAACTGAGATTTAATATTTTATTTCTGTTTTAGAGACATATCATTTACTGTTTTATTCTTTAGATGGTATTCTTAGTTCATAGTTATATTCACTGAATTTGTGATTATAATACAGGTGATTAACTTTTCTCTTTCACTTATGTATCAGGGAACTGGACAGTTTATAAAAGAGGGCTACAGTTACAGAAATCAGAAGTTTGTCACTCCCCATCTAGTGTTTCAGAGCTACTTTTCAACTAAATAGAATTCTTTGGTGTTTTTATTTAAGTCAGATCTCAAAATATGAACTACTTCATTTCAGAATGTTGAACCTCCTGACAAAAATCCAATCCATTGTGAATTGAGCGCTGAAAGCCAAACTGCAGAAACAGAGTTTTTCAGTAAGGCTTCCAAGAATTTTTCAATTAAGAGGTAAAAGATCTGTTTATTATTACGTGAATTTTTAAAAAATTACATTTATTAGTTTTTGGTGAGTAATTAAAATAACTCTGAGTTATTTCTTTTTTTTTTTGAGATGGAGTCTCTCTCTGTTGCCCAGGCTGGAGTGCAGTGGCACAATCTCAGCTCACTGCAACCTCTGCCTCCTGGGTTCAAGCAATTCTCCTGCCTCAGTCTCCTGAGTAGCTGGGACTGCAGGCGTGCACCACCACACCCAGCTAATTTTTTAGCATTTTTAGTAGAGACAGGGTTTCATCATGTTGGCCAGGGTGGTCTTGATCTGCTGACCTTGTGATCTGCCCGCCTTGACCTCCCAAAGTACTGGGATTACAGGCGTGAGCCACAGCGCCCTGCCAGAGTGTAAGTTATTTCTGATGAAACAGTTTTTAAATCTTATGTACCGTAGGTGTCTTTGCTTTAAATGCATTCCTTCATATTCACTAGGAAGTTGGATAGTAATTTTAATGAAATGGCAATTTCGATATAGTTTTCATTTGGGTTGATGTATTATACAGGAGAAACACAAAAGTATTTGTCAAGAAGCTGTCTTGCTTAGAAAGAATCTGCTTCTTGTTTTGTTTAGTGCTTTCTATTTGTTCTTTCTTTCATTATAAGTTTCTTATTTTACTTTTTAAATTAGATGTGGGGTCTCGCTATATTGGCCAGGCTATTCTCGAGCTCCTAAGCCTCAACTGATCCTTCTGCCTTGGCCTCCCAAAGTGCTGGGATTACGTGTGTGAACCATTGTGCTCAACTCTTCCTTACAGTTCTAAATCTGGACCTGTCAGATAAACTACTATAAAAGTAACTACTAGCTGTGTATGATGGCTCACCCCTGTTATCCCAGCACCTTGGGAGGTCAAGGCAGGTAGATCACTTGAGGTCAGAAGTTTGAGACCAGCCTGGCCAATATGGTGAAACCCTGTCTCTACTAAAAATACAAAAATTAGCCGGACATGGTGGAGCATGCTTGTAATCCCAGGTAGTTGGTAGGCTGAGGTGGGAGAATTGCTTGAACCCAGGAGGCAGAGGTTGCAGTGAGCTGAGATCCTGCCGTTGCACTTCAGCCTGGGTGACAGTGTGAGACCCTGTTTCAAAAAAAAAAAACTAACTCCTACCTAAAAAAAAAATTGTTCTAAAACTTATAAAACATACTTGGAGAATATTAATTAAATAAAGCTTGTGACTTCTTGGGTCAGTATATTCTACCTTTTGTGGTAAAGAAGATATTCCCAACCTGGCAAGGTGGCTCACGGCTGCAATCCCAGCACTTTGGGAGGCCAAGTGGGTGGATCACCTGAAATCAGGAGTTCAACACCAGCCTGGCCAACATGGTGAAACTCTGTCTCTACTAAAATTGCAAAAATTAGCCGGGCATGGTGGCGTGCACCTGTAGTCCAAGCTACTCGATTGCTGCAGCTTGAGAATCATTCGAACCTTGGAGGTAGAGATTCCTGTGAGCTGAAATCGTGCTATTGCACTCCAGCCTGGGCAACAGAGCGAGACTCTATCTGTTCCCCCAAGAAGCTAAGAAATGGATTTTATTGCTTAGTGTCAGCAGTTTGTGTATATGTTCATCATAAGTACAAAACAGATATTAATTCCATGCCACAACTCAGATGTACAAAAAATATTAGTCATTGAACTTAATATCTATTATTTTAGGCCGGGTGTGGTGGCTCACGCCTGTAATCCCAGCACTTTGGGAGGCCAAGGTGGGCAGATCAGCTGAGGTCAGGAGTTTGAGATCAGCCTGGCCAACATGGTGAAACCCCATCTCTACTATAAATACAAAAATTAGCTGTGTGTGGTGGCAGGACCCTGTAATCCCAACTACTCAGGTGGCTGAGGCAGGAGAATCGCTTGAACCCGGGAGGTGGAGGTTGCAGTGAGCTGAGGTGGCACCATTGCAGTCCAGCCTAGGGGACAAGAACGAGACTTTGTTTCAAAAAAAAAAATCTGTTTTAGGCCCCTATTTATTCTACTGGATTATAGACACCAAATTTTAGTTAATTCAAGTTTTCTTTATTCCCTTTTCTCTGGGGTTATGTGTCATGTAGCAGGGACTAATGGTATGTCAGTATTGGTGGTATGGGGTGACATGATTCTCATCCATCTGTGTGCTACAATCTGTTGAGGTGTTTTCATTTGCATCTGGTCTTTGTCAGATTTGTGCAGGTTCCTGCTACAACCTTTGACCCTATTCAGGCCACTGGCTTTCTTGTTTCCTGTCCATGCTGTACTGAGCACTTTAGAATACATTATATATCTTAAGCTGTCTTGGGTGTCAGAGAAAAGGTTTACAGTACTGTTGGAGACTCATTTCTGCTTAAACATCATGCAGACACTCTGATTGCTTCATTGTAATACCTTGTACAGGAATAACACTGTGAGGGTCTGTCTCTTCAGACTATCAAGGTTTAGGGCAAAAGGTCTCTTCTGCTGTTTGATTTTCTTTCTTTCTTTCTTTCTTTTTTTTTTTTTTTTGAGACACGGTTTCACTGTGTTGGCCAGGCTGGTCTCGAACTCCTGACCTCAGGTGATCCACCTGTCTCGGCCTCCCAAAGTGCTGGGATTACAGGTGTGAGCCACCGCACCCAGCCTGCTGTTTGATTTTCAAATCTGCCTTGGAGTTTCTGTTGTTATCCCTGCTAGGGAGGATTCAACTTGCATGAAACAGAATGCAGGATGTTTTTTTAGGAATCACATTAATTTTGAGTGCTGTTAGCTTCATTCTGGCTTTTCTTTTTGCATATACTATAGACTTTGTCTAGTTTAGGATGTGAAAAAGCCTGCTGCATATAGTATTCCATATCTTTAGTCTTAAACACTAATTTCAGCTTTTAAAACTCTGTACCAGCACTGAGAAATTTTCTGTTTCTCCGGGGCATGCCATCTGTGATATAATGACTATACCTGACTAAATGGGAGGGTAGTACCTTGATTTCTCAAAGTATTTTCCCATCACAGATGTTAAGTACATAGGAAAATATAATTCCTTATTTGGCTTTCTTTCTTAATACAGAGGGTTTGTAATACAGTGTGTTTAATATACTAAGTATTGCCTTTAATGCCAGATTATAAATTTTTTGACAGTAAGTACTATGTCTCATTTATTTCTATATTCATGAGAGTGATCAACTAGAGGGTGCCCAGTGACTGTTAATTTGTTGTGACATTAACAATACAAGGTTAAACTTGCCATGATCAGGCAAGTAGCATAGTTTATTAAGGCTGACTAGGACAGCTTCCCTGGTCAACTTACACTGGCCTGCAAAATAAAATAATTTGTGGTTGTCAGATACTAAGTTAAATGATCTGAGTACTACTGCAACTTATTAAAGGACTTCATTCAATTTCTAGAAGAAAGAACAAACACTGGATTACAAAGGCTTTTCTGGTCTCCCCTTCTATTCTTTAGGTCTTCCCAAAAGTTATCTCCTCGAAAAATGCCAATAAATGATCATGACTCTGGTGTTGAAGATGAAGATTTTTCTCCAAGACCAATTCCTAGTCCTCATCCAGTGAGTCAGAAGGTATCACTGATTTTAAAAATGCATTCACTTTTGTGATTAGAGACCTAAGTCTCATTATGTTAAAACACTAGATAATGCTACCTGAAACCTAAGTATTATTCTTAGCTATATCTAGCTATTTATATCTCTATGGATATATCTATATATAGAGATATAAGTGTCTCACAATTACTATGATTATATGTAATAATATATGTGTGTAATATATATGTAATAAGCATGTATGATTATTATTCCTAGAGTAAACTGAGGCATAGATTGGTTAAATTACCTACCCAAGATGATAAAATTAGTTAGTAGTAAAGTTGGGAGTCTAATTCAGGAGGTTTGGTTTTAGAATCTGATGCTAATAACCATATAGACTCAACATGATATGCTGTCACTAGAGCTTGACACTGGTTTTTATCACTATATTCTGAGAAAACATTCCACTTGCTTTCAGAGGTTAACTGTTAAAATTCTTGTCACAATTTTTGGATTGCTACCAACCTGTGGGTTATTTTAGAATTGTTGTTTAATTGGTGTAATTACTTATTTTAGAAGAAAAAGGAATGGGAAGGATTTTTTAAAGTTAATATCAAATTATAACCAAATTTATCACAGCGAGTATATTGTTTACTCTTTTTTGCTTTCCAACTCTTAGTCGATAACAATAAAAGGAATAAGAGTGAGTGACTTCTTAGTGGCGAAATATTTATTGGAAGATTTTACTATTTAAGGTACATAAACATTTGTTACTAGGTCTGTGAAAATATTCTGCCTGTGATAATTTTTATTTTTTGCAGAGAGAGGATTTAAAAGTTGTATAGAACAGTTTTTCATATTGTGTTTTGTGATCTTAGCAGTGTTAGTGTTTTAATAAAAAGAGTTCCATTATTAAATAAGTTTGGGAAGTGTTTAGTTTTGTTCTTTTAGGGCAAGGGCCTTGTTTATTTTGCTTAAAATTGTATTCCTAGGGCTTAGCACATAAAACATGCCCAGAAAGTATTTGCTGATGGTCTCCATAAAGAATGAACCCTTGCTAATATGTAATTAGATGTGATCTGGGAAATACTGGTCTGAGGAAAATAAAGATACATTTTCTCCTAAAAAAATACTTTTTTTTCATTTCTCTCTTATTTGTAGATTTCTAAGATCCAACCATCAGTTCCTGAACTTTCACTTGTGTTGGATGGCAATTTCATAGAATCAAACCCTTTGTCTTCTCCATTGGAAATGGTGAATAATGAAAATTCTCCTTTGATTAACCACTCTGAACACTTGAAGCCATTGCAACCCCAGCTTTATGATGAGAAACACAGTCCAGAAGTTGAAGCTGGAGAGCCTTCCTTGAGAGGAATACCAAATCAGTTAAATGAGGATATGGCTCTTTTGAGACACTGCAAAGTAAGACAGCCACCTGCCTGTAAGAAAGTGAACCCACATACCAGGAACAGTGTTAAACCATCTTCTCATAATGGGCCATCTCCTGATATATTAGAAAAGCTCCAAGCAGTTGCTGCTGGAAATGTCCAAAACAAAGAGTATCCTATAAGACCCTCCACACTTAATTCTAGGCAGTCTTCTCTTGCCCCACAGTCCCAACCACATAATTTTGTTTTATTACCCCATAATTCAGAAAGGCAAATGGAACTTCAGATACCTATTCACCCGCCGCCATCTTACTGTTCCACAAACGTTTGCAGGTGTTGTCAACATCATAGCCATATTCAATGTAGTTCACTAAATTCTTGGCAAGGAGCAAGTACAGTTGGATCCATTCAAGATGTCCAGTCTGAAGCTCTTCAAAAGCATTCTTTATTTCACCCAAGTGGATGTCCAGCTCTCTACTGCAATGCATTCTGTTCTTCAAGTAGTCCTATAGCCTTGAGACCTCAGGGAGGTGTGGACGGTTGTTCTCCCCACAGCAATATAGAACCATCACCTGTGGCAAGACTACCTTCACATATGGACTCATGTAACCCACAGCCTTGCACGGTGTGTGTGCACACACCCAAGACTGAGTCAGATAATGGAATGATGGGACTATCTCCAGATGCATATCGGTTCCTCACAGAGCAAGACAGACAGCTGAGACTACTTCAGGCACAGGTTTGCTTGGTGCTTTCCTAGTTCTATTAAATTCTTGGTATTAATTATGATTTCTTAAAAACTGGTACCTCTCCTCAGTAGTTATGTTTTATAGAATAGAATTGTAGAATGTCAGAATTAGAAGAGACCTTGGAACTGAATTCTAGGCCCTCTTTTTTTCTTTTGAGCCAGAGTCTCACTCTGTCGCCCAGGCTGGAGTGCAATGATCTTGGTTCACTGCAACCTCCGCCTCCTGGGTTCAAGCAATTTTCCTACCTCATCCTCCTGAGTAGCTGGGATTACAGGCATGCACTGCCATGCCCAGCTAATTTTTGTGTTTTTAGTAGAGACGAGGTTACACCATGTTGGTCAGGCTGGTCACAAACTCCTGATTTCATGATCTGCCTGCCTCGGCCTCCCAAAGTGCTGGAATTACAGACGTGAGCCACCGCAAGTGGCCTGGTCCTCTTGTTTTACAGGTAAGTAAAATGAGGATTAGAGAGAACAATTTAACCCAATGCCACATTGCTAGTTAGTAGTAAAACCATCTTATGCACATTCTAACCTATAATAGAATTGTATTTTTCTTTTATATTTTGCCTCTAATGAAAAGTCTGTTATGATTAAACCTTTATATACAGCTGTATGTAAAGTCTGGATAATGGCTTCTTCTTCATCTCTAGTTTGTCAATCCTATATAAATAATGCTTAGCCAGTATGCCCTTAAAGAAATAGTTAGAACCTTTCTGTGTATCTATACTGGACTTACTCTACTTCTTTTATTCTGAAATGTTCCCTTTCCAGGACCTCTGTTGCGGGTTTCTTAGTCTTTTTTTTTTTTTTTTTTTTTTTTTTTTTTTTTTTTTGAGGTAGTCTCATTCTGTTGCCTAGGCTGGAGTGCAGTGGTTATGATCTAGGCTCACTTCAACCTCCGCCTCCCAGGTTCAAGTGATTCTCCTGCCTCAGCACCCACTAGTAGCTGGGATTCCAGGCATGTACCGTCATGCCTGGCTAATTTTTTGTATTTTTAGTAGAGACGAAGTTTCATCATGTTGGTCAGGCTAGTCTCTATGGAGTTCTTAGTCCTAATTATATCCTTGTGCAGAGTTTAGTCTGTAAATGTTGTCTTTTTTCTTTCCTCTCAGACGTCCTTCTTTCACATACCTACCCCAAACCAGCTGTTCCTCTCTTTCCCCCTAACACCAGTGGGAACAACCTGAAATGTATTTAAAAAATTTTTTCATGATCCTGTAACTGTGCAAATACCTGTATAATGTGCATATATATACGTATGACTTTAAAAAAAACTTTGTTCTATAAAATTGGAGTTACAGTGTTTGCATTTTATAAAAAAAGAGACAATGACATTTTTCAAATCTGAAAATGCTTTTAATGGGAACATATGAGAAAAATTTAGCTCTTCTGTTTTTTAAACCTAGATCAATTTTTTGAAATTGCAAAGTATAATTTGTTTTAATTTTTTTTTTTTTTTTAAAAGAAGAATTCTCACTATGTTGCCCAGACTGGTCTTGAACTCCTGGGATCAAGTGATCTTTCTGCTTTGACCTCCCAGAGTGCTAGGATTATAGGCTTGAGTCACCATTCCTGGATAATGTAAAATATCAATTGGAATTTAACATTATAAACACTTACCAAAAATTTTAATATACCTAAATATTTTTACATTGAAAACAGTTATTTCTCATTTATTTCCTGATTTCCTGTCTTGTTCAAAAAAAGACTAATTAGAAAAAGGACCCATTATGCTATTTAGAAATCTTAGTTACTTGGAATTTGTATACTGAAAATGTAATATTATAGACCACAGGCCCTGGTCTAGATTATTTGAATCATATTTAGAAAATTTGAAATATGATATAAAAAATGCTTCTGTGTGTAAAGACACATAGTATTTTCCATATATATATATAAACTTAAATTTTTTTTTAGGTACTTTTTTTTTTTCCGAGACAGAGTTTCCCTCTTGTTGCCCAAGCCGGAGTGCAATGGCGTGATCTTAGCTCACCATTTACACTTTTTTACATGAGTATCAACTTATAAATACTAATCTAAACACCTTTATGTTTTGCTTTTAAATGTATGCTTAAAGGCTGAGGTGGACAGATTGCTTGAGCCCAGGAGTTTGAGACCAGCCTGGGCAACACGGCAAAACCCCATCTCTACAAAACATGAAAATTAGCCAGGCAAAGGTGGTGCATGCCTATAGTTCCAGCTACCCAGGAGGCTGAGGTAGGAGGACTGATTGAGTCCTTGAGGTCGAGGCTGCAATAAGTCGTGATTACACTACTGCTCTCCAGCCTGGGTGACAGAGCAAGACCCTGTCTCAAAAAGAAATAAAAGTAAAAGTGCTTCTTAGCTAGTGAGAATGGCTTTCTAGATTGAATAAGTTTCATGGTATGGTCAAGTTGAAATGTTGGAAAATAGACTTAAAAGTCAGTTTCTTATAACTAGAGTGCTTTGTAATTCATTATTAAACTGCTGCCAGTTTTGATTACTTCCCTGTCAGTTTAAAGTATGTTTTTAATTGATACAGATTCAGCGTTTGTTGGAAGCACAGTCTCTGATGCCCTATTCCCCTAAGACAACCACTGTTGAAGACCCAGTACAAGCTGGAAGACAAATGGAGTTGGTTTCTGTGGAAGCACAGTCTTCCCCTGGCTTGCACATGAGAAAAAGTGTAAGCATTGCTGTGAGCACAGGTAATTTCAGGTTTTTTTATTTGTAAGGAAATTTTAAAAAATGCTTTTCATATCTGGTTTTTGAATTTTTATGTTCAAATTGGTGCACAGTGGAATAGGAACAAAAACCAAGATGATGAGAGTGTGACTTAGGTTTTTGTGTAATTATACTCTTTGTGAAATAAAACTACACCTGCAAACTGCATAACATGATGCACTATTTGGTTTTGCTACTTTCCTAGGCTGGACCCAATTTTTTTTGTTTGTTTTTGAGATACAGTCATGCTCTGTTGCCGAAGCTAGAGTACAGTGGTGCAGTCTCAGCTCACTGTAACCTCCATATCCCAGGTTCAAGCAATCCTCCCGCCTCAGCCTCCCGAGTAGCTGGGACTACAGGTGTGCACCACCACGCCCAGCTAAGTTTTGTATTTTTAGTAGAAATGGGTTTAACCTTTTTGGCCAGTCTGGTCTCAAACTCCTGACCCCAGGTGATCTGCCCACCTTGGCCTCCGAAAATGCTGGGATTCTAGGAGTGAGCCACCACACAGTCATGGACCTAATTCTTTTTTTTTTTAATTGGAAACAGGATCTCATTCTGTTGCCAGGCTGAAGTGTAGTGGCACAATCAAGGCTCACTGTAGCCTCAACCTCCCAGGCTCAGGTGATCCTCCCACCTCAGCCTTCTGAGTGGCTGGAACTACAGGCATGCATCACAGTGCCTGGCTAATTTTTGTATTTTTTTTGTAGAGACTGGTTTCACCATATTGCTAAGGCTGGTCTCAAACTCCTGGGCTCACGTGATCCAGCCACCTCAGCCTCCCAAAGTGCTAGGATTACAGGAGTGAGCCACTGTATCCCGCCTGGCTGGACTCAATTCTAATAAGAGAAATCATTTGTGGTTTGAGGGATCAGGAAGGGTTTCATCTGTGCAGTTGTTATTGAGTGTGAGCCTCGGAGGGTATGTAGGATTTCAGTAGATGGAATTGAGGGGTGGGAGAGCAGATTGAGTAAAGAAAATATTATGGGTTCAATGAGAAAACAGAGCTCCAAGTTATAGTTTTGGTGGCAATAGGAATGGGGAGAGGAACTTGATAATGGTCATGTAGATGCTGATAAGATTTTATACTAATTGGATATAGCAGTTGAGGAAGAGGGAGGACTGAATAGTTACTCCAGCTAAATGCAATATGATATCCTGGGTTGGATTCTGGCACAGAAAAAGGACATTAGTGGAAAAATTGATGAAATCCAAATAAAGCCTTGATTTTAGTTAATATTAATGTACTATGTTGGTGTCTTGATTTTAACAAATGTATATAAGATGTTGACATCAGGGGAAACTGGATGAGAAGTATTTAGGAACTCCGTATTCTCTTTGCTTTAAATCTAGAGTTATTCCAAAATTAAGTTTATTAAATATACTAAATAAAAGTTACTGTACGATTTTAAGCCTGGATGACAGAGAGTAATGGGTAGTACCATTTAACAGATGGAGGCAAGTTAGAGAAGCAGAGGATAGAGGACAAAGTCAGCCTACATATCTCTTAAGATCAAGTTGCTTAGGGGAATGTGAATAGAGAAACTCAAATGTCAGAAGAGTAGGAGTGTAAGTCAGTTGATGACATAGACATACAGATATAGAAGTAACAGATGAAGATTTGAGGCTGGAGAATAAAAGTCTAAGAGGAAAAATAAAGAAATAAGGTCTGTACTTCTTTTCTGAACCTGTGTGTTATCTAAACTATCCATGCAGCAGGGAGCAAGAACCACATGCACATTTGTAAGTCACATTCAAGTACTGACCCATATTAGTTAAAATTCTTTGATGCCAAGTAACATAAACCACTTTGAACTAATTTAAGCAAGGAAAAGGAATTGACTGGAAGAATATGGGATGTTTTGTAGAAGCCAAGGCCAAGAATGGAGCTGGACTTTAGGAAAAGACTGTAACTAGAAACTGGAAAATCATTAAGACTTTCCAGTTATTCTGTGTGGCTGTTTTACTCATTTTTGTCTGCAGTCTGCCTTTCACTGCTTTACATTTTAAAATGTGGCTGACCTAGAGCTTGTGTTATATAACGTAAGTATATGTTACACAATTCTAATCATACATATAAACCATCTTGCTGTCCTTCGGTCCAAGCATCAAATTGCAGAGAACCTGAATGACCTACTTTGGATTAGGTTTTAATCCCTGGTTCAGTGGTAAGTAGGTTGAGAAACACATAACAGGGACATATCTGCAACAGTAGTCCCACCTTGGTGGATTGCAGAGGTGATAGATAGTTCCCAAGAAGGTATGTGGTGCGTATGTCATAGAGGGCTGGTGGTAAAGGAGCTTGTGGATAGTATGAGCTAATATACCAAAAAGTTTGGGATCATCCTATGTCTTCTTGTAAAATTCTTCATTTATTCTATTATAGTTGCTTATCATCTGAATCAGCAGACTGTAAGCTTTTGGCATCTGGAATACTGGCTTGTTCACCATAGTGTATGATTTCATAACATGATGCCTAAAACATAATGTGTACTGGATAAATAAGTAATTAAATGAAGTTATTCAATGTTTGAACTGATATTCTGAAATTGTTTTTGTTTGTTTGTTTGTTTGTTGGTAGAGACAGGGTTTTGCCATGTTGCCCAGGCTGGTCTCAAGCAATCCACCTGCCTTGGCCTCCCAAAGTGTTGGAATTACAGGGGTGAGCCACTGGCTTTATATTCTTTTCCTTTACTTTCTTTTTTGAGATAGAGTCTGGCTCTGTTGCCCAGGCTGGAGTGCAGTAGCACAATCTCTGCTTACTGCAACCTCCACCCCTTGGGTTCAAGCGATTCTCCTGCCTCAGCCTCCCAAGCAGCTGGGATGCAGGCACCTGCCACCATGCCCGGCTAATTTTTGTATTTTAGTAGAGACGGGGTTTTGCCATGTTGGCCAGGCTGGTCTTGAACTCCTGACCTCAGGTGATCTACCTTGGCCTCCCAAAGTGCTGAGATTACAGACATGAGCCACTGCTCCTGGCCTCTTTGTTGCTGTTGTTGTTGTTGTTGGAGCTGGAGTTTCACTCGTCACCCAGGCTGGAGTGCAATGATGTGATCTCAGCTCACTGCAACCTCTGCCTCCTGAGTTCAAGCGGTTCTCCTGCCTCAAGCCTCTTGAGTAGCTGGGATTACAGGCATGCGCCACTATGCCTGGCTAATTTTGTATTTTTAGTAGAGATGCGGTTTCACCATGTTGACCAGGCTGGTCTTAAACTCCTGATTTCAGGTGATGTGCCCACCTTGGCTCACAAAATACTAGAATGAGCCACACTGTTCTTCGCCACTTGGTCTGATATTCTGAGATTATTTTAAACAAGTTTCCAAACATTATATGTAGAAGTCAAACATTTTAAAACTTCATAGATGCAGATTCAGTTATTACTTATGTAGAAAATGAATTTTTTTTTTTTTTTTTTTTTTTTTTAGACAGAGTCTTGCTCTGTCACCCAGGCTGGAGTGCAGTGGTGCAGTCTCGGCCTACTGCAACCTCCACCTCCTGGGTTCATGCAGTTCTCTTGCCCCAGCCTCCTGAATAGCTAGGATTACAGGGGTGCACCACCATAACCGACTAAGTTTTGTATTTTTAGTAGACATGGGATTTCACCAGGGTGGTCTCAATCTCTTGACCTTGTGATCTGCCTGCCTCCGCATCCCAAAGTGTTGGGATTACAGGCGTGAGCCACCATGGCCAGTCTATTAATTTATTTTCATAAAATCACCTGAGTATATCCTCAGAGTAGAAACCATTTTGACTAGGATTTACTTTTTTTTTTTTTTTTTTGAGATGGAGTCTCACTCTGTCACACAGGCTGGAGTGCAATGGCGTGGTCTTGGCTCACTGCAACCTCCGCCTCCCAGGTTCAAGTGTTTCTCCTGCCTCAGCCTCCTGAGTAGCTGGGACTGTAGGCACATGCCACCACACCTGACTAATTTTTGTATTTTTAGTAGAGACGGGGGTTTCACTATGTTGGCCAGGCTGGTCTCAAACTCCTAACCTCATTATCCACCCACCTTGGCCTCCCAAAGTGTTGGGATTACAGGCATGAGCCACCATGCTCGGCCTACTTTTTGGTTTTAACCATCTGTTTAAACCATTATATAGTAGCAATATTTCCCAAATTATAGAATACATATGACTTGTGGTACAAAAAGATGATTTCGGATGTTAAACAGGTTAATGTTTATATTTTGTGAATATATTTTTTCTAGTACTCATAGGTATAAATACAATAAGCATATCAAATCTATGATTTTACAGAAATAATGAGGCTCAGTAAAAATAGAGTTAATGTAAAGAAAGAGAGTAAGTAAACAATACTACACCCAAATAGCTCATGAAGATTGCAGAATAGGCCGGGCACAGTGGCTCACACCTATAGTGTCTGCACTTTGGGAGGTCAAGGCAGGTGGATCCCTTGACGCCAGGAGTTCAAGACCAACTTGGTCAACATGGTGAAGCCTCGTCTTTAAAAAACAAAAATACAAAAATTAGCCACACATGATGGTGTGCACCTGTAGTCCCAGCTACTCAGGAAGCTGAGGTGAGAGGATCACTTGAGCCTAGGGAGATTGAGGCTGCAGTGAGCTATGATTGTGTCACTGCACTCTAGCCTGTGTAAAAAAGTGACACCCTGTCTCCAAAACAAACAAACAGAAAGATTGGAAAACATCTGATTTTTTAAATACCTGCCTGATATTACAGATATTACATGTCTGATGCATTCCCAATGTAGTCTCTTAAATATTGCATTTAAGTATCACAACCAGAGAACCTAGGGATTTGTATTTTATATAGTATCTCATGTTATTCAGAGCAGTGGTTTTCAATATACACACTTCACCCCACAGATTATATTCAGAACCTTAATATATAAAGCAAATCATTTCAGAGCCATTCTTCTTGAAAAAGCAGAATCCAGAATGTGCCCTTCTACCCTACCTGTCCCCACTTTTCTCTTTCTGTCTTCCACCTACCTCTTCCTAGCATTTCTGAGGAAATATAATCTAAAAACTTAGTTCTAAGTAATTGTATTAAGATAGCTTTTTTGTTTGTTTGTTTTTTTGAGACAGAGTCTCATGTGTTGCCCTGGTTGGAGTGCAGTGGCACAATCACAATAGCTTATTGCAGCCTCGATCTCCTGGCTGGGCTCAAGTGATCTCCCACCTCTGCCTCCCAAGTAGTTGAGACTACAGGCACACCACCATGCCTGGCTAATTTTTTTGGATTTTTTTTTTTTTTTTGTAGAGCCTGGATTTCTGCATGTTGCCCACCCTGGTCTTGAACTCCTGAGCTCAAGTGATCCTCCCACCTCTGCTTCTCAAAGTGTTGGGATTACAGGTGTGAGCCACTGCACCTGGCCAGTATAGCTGCTCTTTTTCTTTTTTTGAGACAGAGTCTCACTCTGGTATCACCCAAGCTGGGGTGCAGTGCCACGATCGTGGCTCACTGCAACTTCTGCCACCCAGGTTCAAGCAATTCTCCTGCCTCAGCCTCCCGAGTAGCTGGGATTACAGGTATATACCACTGTGCCCAACTAATTTTTGTATTTTTAGTAGAGACAGGGTTTCACCATCTTGGCCAGGCTGGTCTTGAACTTCTGACCTTGTGATCCACCCACCTTGGCCTCCCAAAGTGCTGGGATTACAGGTGTGAGCCACCTCGCCCGGTCAGCTATTCTTAACAAAGGTTTGTCAGAGTATAATTTTTAAAGTTGAATGTTTGTTTCAGTATCTTAAATTATTTAACCTCCAGGTGCTAGCTTGTTTTGGAATGCAGCAGGTGATAATCAAGAGCCTAACTCTCAGCTGAAGCAAGATGATACCAAAATTTCCAGTGAGGACATGAATTTTTCTGTGGATATTAATAATGAAGTCACAAGTCCTCCAGGTAGTGCATCTTCATTAAAAGCAGTTGATATTCCCAGTTTTGAAGAGAGCAACGTTGCTGTGGAAGAAGAATTTAACCAGCCACTTTCTGTATCCAAGTAAGGTCTCTTTGATTTAGTCTTTTGTCCTACTTAAAAAAAAATTTTTAACGGACAAGTAATAATTGTATGTATTTGTGGGGCACAGTGTTTAGATGCATATTTACAATGTGGAATGACCAACAAATCTATCACTTCACATACTTAACATTTTTTGTGGTAAAAACATTTACAGTCGACTATTAGCAATTTTGAAATATACAATGCATTATTATTCATAATGGTTGCTGTTCTGTTCAGGTTTTTTTGTTTTCAATTCTAATTTCTTTTAAGTCTGACTCAAACGATTTATTTTCTAAATGGTATTTTCATTATGTCTTTATCTTATATAATTTCTATGTAACTGTTAACTCTGAGCCTTCTAGAACCATTTCCAGATGTCAGTCATTGGCTATATATATATATATATATATATATATAAATTTTTTTTTGTTTGAGATGGAGTCTCACTCTGTTGCTCATGTTGGAGTGCAATGGTGCGATCCCGGCTCACTGCAATCTCCACCTCCAGGGTTCAAGCAATTCTCCTGTCTCAGTCTCCCAAGTAGCTAGGACTATACAGGCACAGGCCATCATGCCAGGCTAATTTTTTGTGTTTTTAGTAGAGATGGGGTTTCACCATGTTAACTAGGATGGTCTCAATCTCCTGACCCTGTGATTTGCCCACCTCGGTCTCCCAAAGTGCTGGGATTACAGGTGTTGAGCCACTGTGCCCAGCCCAGTCATTGGCTATATAACGGTCTGGACGAATCGGAAATTGGAAGAAGACCTCAAAAAGACACAAGCTTAGGCTTCACTCTAGAGTTTCTGATAATGTTAGGTTCCAGATGGAGGTGGAAAATTTTCTTTTCTTTATTTCATTTAATCAATTATTTTATTTTATTTGTAATCTTTTTTTGAGTTTGAGTTTCGCTCTTGTTGCCCGGGCTGGAGGGCAGTGATGCAATCTCAGCTGACTGCAACCTCTGCCTCCCGGGTTCAAGTGATTCTCCTGTCTCAGCCTCCTGAGTAGCTGGGATTACGGGCACCTGCCACCATGCTGGGCTAATTTTTGTTTTTTGTTTTTGAGATGGAGTCTCACTCTGTTGCCCAGGCTAGAACGCAATGGTGCAATCTTGGCTCACTGCAACCTCTGCCTCCTGGGTTCAAGCAATTCTCCTGCCTAAGCCTCCTGAGTAGCTGGGACTATAGGTGCATACCACTACACCCAGCTAATTGTTGTATTTTTAGTAGAGACAGAGTTTTACCATGTTGGTCAGGCTGGTTTCAAACTCCTGACCTTGTGATCTGCCTGCCTTGGCCTCCCAAAGTGCTAGGATTGCAGGTGTGAACCATTGTGCCCAGCCTGTAATTTTAGTAGAGATGGGGTTTCACCATGTTGGCCAGGCTGGTCTTGAACTACTGACCTCAGGTGATCCATCTGTCTTGGCCTCCCAAAGTGCTGGGATTACAGTTGTGAGCCACCGTGCTTGACCTATTTTATTTTATTTAATTTTTGAGACAAGAGTCTCACTCTGTCACTCAGGCTGGAGTGCAATGGCACTATCTCAGCTCACTGCAACCTCTGTCTCCCAGGTTCAGGCCATTCTTGAGCTTCAGCCTCTTTTTTTGGAGTCGGAGTTTCGCTCTTGTTACCCAGGCTGGAGTGCAATGGCACAATCTTGGCTCACCGCAACCTCCGCATCCTGAGTTCAGGCAATTCTCCTGCCTCAGCCTCTGGAGTAGCTGGGATTACAGGCACGCGCCACCATGCCCAGCTAATTTTTTGTATTTTTAGTACAGACGGGGTTTCATCATGTTGACCAGGATAGCTGAATTACAGGCATGTGCCACCAAACCCAGCTAATTTTTGTATTTTTAGTAAAGATGGGGCTTCCCACATTGGCCAGGCCTCTTAAGTAGCTGGATTACAGGCATGTGCCACCACACCACACCCAGCTTATTTTTGTATTTTTAATAGAGATGGAGCTTCCCACATTGCCTAGGCTGATCTTGAACTCCTGACCTCAGGTGATCCACCTGTCTCAGCCTTCCAAATTGCTGGGATTATAGTCATGAGCCACTGAGAGATGGGGAAATTTCTAAAGATTGTCCATATTGCCATTATATATGAAAGAGTCTATTTTTGAGAGCTACAACCGGAATATTGATATGTGAAATGTTACCTGAGACTGGCTTCAAATTAATTCTGTGGGAGAATGAAATGGCTAGGAGTATAAATGAAATGAAATTGGCTATTTGTTGGTAATTTTTGAAACTGATTGTATGTGGTGATTTGTTAAATAATTCTCTCATGCTTGAAATTTTTCTTTTTTTTTTTTTATTTGTTTTGTTTGTTTGTTTTTGTGAGACAGTCTCCCTCTGTCGCCCAAGCTGGAGTGTAGTGGCGTGATCTCAGCGCACTGCAACCTCTGCCTCCTGGGTTCAAGCAATTCTCTGCCTCAGCCTCCCGAGTAACTGGGATTACAGGTGCCTGCCACTGTGCTCGGCTAAGTTTTTTGTATTTTGAGTAGAGATGGGGTTTTGCCATCTTGGCCAGGCTAATCTTGAACTCCTGACCTAGTGATCCACCTGCCTCGACCTCCCAAAGTGCTTGGATTACAGGTGTGACTCACCACACCTGGCCTTCTCTGTTTTATACAAGAACCGCAGATTACTGTTCTAACCAGAAACATGTTTTTTAATATTGCTTTCCCTAGTTATTTAAAAAATGTTTTATTTTCTAATTTTGAAAGTAATAAATGCTCATTGTGTAAAATCGATAAAATATGTAAAAGCATAAAGAAGAAAAGGAATACCATCAAGTATATCATGTGTTTATAAGTGTCATCTTATGCTGGGCACAGTGGCTGACGCCTGTAATCTGGGAGGCTGAGGCAGGTGGATCGCTTGAGCTCAGGAGTTCGACACCAGCCTGGACAACGTGGCAAAACTGCATCTCTACAAAAAATACAAAACACAGCCGGGTGTGGTGGTGCTCACCTGTAGTCATTACTACTTGAGAGGCTGAGGTGGGAGAATCATTTGAGCCTGGGAGGTTGAAGCTGCAGTGAGCTATGATTGTGCCACTGTGACAAAAAGAGAACCTGTCTAAAAAAAATAAATGGCAGCTTGTAAATTTCATTTGACAAGATCTTGACTATTATTTTATTTCAAATTTATTTTCTTTCCTTCTTTTTTTTTTTTTGAGATGGAATTTCCCTCTGTCACCCAGGCTGGAGTGCAGTGGTGTGATCTCGGCTCAATTCAACCTCTGCCTCCTGGGTTCAAGTGATTCTCCTGCCTCAGCCTCCTGAGTAGCTGGGATTACAGGCACATGCCACCACACCCGGCTAATTTTTCTATTTTTAGTAGAGATGAGGTTTCACCATGTTGGCCAGGATGGTCTTGAACTCCTGACCTCGTGATCTGCCCGCCTTGGCCTCCCAAAATGCTAGGATTACTCCTCCTAACCTGTACTTTTTAATTTTTATTTTTGAGACAGAGTCTCACTCTGTCGCCTGGGTTGGAGTGCAGTGACTATCTTGGCTCACTGCAACCTTCACCTCCTGGATTCAGGTGATTTCTCCTGCTTGAGCCTCTCAAGTAGCTGGGCTCAGAGGCATGTACTACCACACCCAGCTAATTTTTGTATTTTTAGTAGAGATGGGTTTCATCACATTGGCCAGGCTGGTCTCCATCTCCTCACCTCAAGTGATCCGCCCCCCTTGGCCCTCCAGTGTGTTGGGATTACAAGTGTGAGCCACTGCAGCCAACCTAAATATATATTCTTTGACCACTGTCTCCCCAACTTGCCTTCCCCAGCCACCCCAGCCTCTGGTAATCATCATTCTACCCTCTCCTTCTATGAGATAAACGTTTTTAGATACTACATTTGAGTGATAATCTGGGCCTGGCTTATTTCACTAAGCATAATGTTCTCCAAATCATCCATGTTATTGCAAATTTCAGGATTTCCTTTTTTTTAATGGCTGAATTGTCTATACTTACCGCATTTTCTTTATCCATTCATTCATTGATGGACACATAGGTTGATTTCATATCTTGACTTGTGAATAGTCCTACAGTTGTCTTTTTTGGCATACTAATTTTATTTCTTCTGGGTAGATAATCCAGTATTGGTATTGCTGAACATATGGTAGTTCTATGTTTAATTTTTTGAGGAACCTCCTTAGTTTTTTTTGCAATATAATTTTATACAAATCTGCATCTCCATGAACAGTGTGCAGGGATTCCCTTTTCTTCACTATTATTTTAAAACCCAGGCCTGGCGCAGCAGCTCATGACTGTAATCCTTGCATTACAAGGGGAGCAGATCACTTGAAATCAGGGGTTTGAAACCAGCCTGGCCAACATGGTGAAACCCTGTCTCTACTAAAAATGCAAAAACTAGCTTGGCACAGTGGTGCTTGCCTGTAATCTTAGCTACTTGGGAGGCTGAGGCAGGAGAATTGCTTGAGTCTGGGAGGCAGGGGTTGCAGTGAGCCAAGATCACACCACTGCACTCCAGCCTAGGTGACACAGTGAGACTCCGTCAAAAAAAAAACAACTTAGAATTAATAACGTATCTAAAATGTTTAAATGCTCTTAAAATTTCCATTGCCATCAAGTTCAGGAGAAATCAACAACTTGTTTTCCAGACTTCAAAGACAGTTGTCTTAAATATAAGTAACACAAGTTAAAAGGTATCATGGTTTAGTTTATTTTTATTTTATTTATTTATGTATTTATATTTAGAGAAGGGGTCTCGCTATGTTACCCAGGCTGGAGTGCAGTGGCTATTTACAGGCGCAATCTCACTACTGATCAGCACAGGAGTTTGACCTGCTCCATTTCCGACCTGGGCTAGTTCACCCCTCCTTAGGCAACCTGGTGGTACCCTGCTTCTGGGAGGTCACCATACTGATGTTGAACTTAGTGCGGACACCCAATCGGCATAGCGCACTACAACCCAGAACCTCTGGACTCAAGTGATCCTCCAGCCTCAGCCTCCCAAATAGCAGGGACTACAGGCATGTGCCACTGCGCCTGGCATGGTTTAATTTATATGCAGCCTGTTAAGATGGGACGTTTTTGTTTTTGTTTCTTCTAGAAACAGGGTCTTACTCAGATATCTAGGCTGAATATGGTGGTACAATCATAGCTCACTGCAGTCTCAAGTTCCTGGGCTAAGTGATCCTCTTGCTCAGCCTCCTGAGCAGCTGGGATTACAGGTGCATGGTGCCATACCCAGCCAATCAAAAAAAATTTTTTTGTAGCTGGGGTATTACTATATTCCCCAGTCTGATCTTGAACTTCTTGCCTCAAGTAATTCTTTTGCCTTGCCCTCCCAAAACACAGATTACAGGCAAGAGCCACTGTACCTGGCTAAGATGGTGTTTATGTAGCATCAGTAAGAGCTAAAAATACAAACCAGATGCTGCTTGAATCTTAACCCTTTCTTCCAGAGTTACTACATTTCAATTATATGTTAAATGTACCTTGATAACTAACACATTATATATTCTTCCCAGCAGCCCTTCTCTAGTTGTGAGGAAAGAACCTGATGTACCTGTGTTCTTTCCAAATGGCCACCTGGCAGAAAATGTAAGCATGTATTTACAGACTGGACCAACAGGGGGTGCCAGTAACAATTCTGAAATGTCAGGGGAACCAGAAATTGAGCAAGTAATGCAACCATTGCCTCATCAACCATCAGATAACCAGAAAATTTACCAGGATTTGTTGGTAAGATAATTTGAGCATTTCATCTTTTAGAGAAGTTATTTAATATAGGATATACTAGTTAAGCTTTTCCTGGATTTAAACTGATTGAGACCTTAAGATAAAAAATTTTTTGCCAAATTAACAATGTATCATTTCTTTTAGCTTTTCATAAATTATAACTCAAATTCAGTAATTTACTGTAAACATACCTAAGTATTTAGAAAAAAAAGCTTTATTTTTAAAGTATAAATAAGCTAATTCAAACCAAAATTAGTGAGAGTTTCTCAGAAATTTGAAAATTGGAAAGTAGCAGGATATTTATAATAATATTTACTGATTTTAATTCAGGTAAGCCAGTGTGTATTAAATAATTAGCTTAGTCTAAGGCAGTAGGCTAAGTGAAGTCCATACTATAAAGGTGAATATGACACTCTGTGTCCTTGAGAGCCCAGGGGAAACAACAGCACATGCAGACTAGTAACAAACAATTATAAGACAGGTTGTTGAGAAGTAACAGTGTAAAGCAAAGAGAACACAGAATAAAGGGATAGTTCTGGTTGGAGGAACTAGTCTTAGAAATCTTAAAATTATGACCTGGGACTTAATGGTTAAAGAAACCATGGCTGTGACTATCACTCAAATTGTAGAACATTTGATTTCTCCATTTGGGAGAAGGCTAATTAAACATACTTCACAGGGCCCTATGTATCCATCAGTGAATGCATATTTGTTATTTGCTTGCTAGGTCCTAGAGTGATGCGAGTAGCTTGTATGCTCAGGGAATGAAATATGCAGAAATAGTATCACAGGTCATTCTTGCTTTTAGAAAGTGAGAAAAAAAAGGAGCCTAATTCTTTGAGTATCACGAAGGCCTAGTTTGTAACTGAAACATATTATCATCAAATGAAAGCATTATTTAAAACCTGTTTTACAAATTTAGCAGCCAGGCACAGTGGCTCACACCTGTAATCGCAGCACTTTAGGAGGCCGTGGTGGGTGGATCACGAGGTCAGGAGTTCAAGACCAGCCTGGCCAACATAATGAAACCCCGTCTCTAATAAAAATACAAAAAATTAGCTGGGGATGGTGATGGGCACCTGTGATCTCAGCTACTCAGGAAGCTGAGGCAGGAGAATGGCTTGAACCTGGGAGGTGGAGGTTGCAGTGAGTGGAGATTGCACCACTGCACTCCAGCCTGGGTGACAATGTGAGACTCTGTCTCAAAAAAAAAAAGGCATAAATCCTTGAAAATACTTGGAGAATTACTGAAATGATTTTTTTTTTTTTTGAAACAGGGACTTGTTCTGTTGCCCAGGCTAGAGTTCAGTGACATGGGCTCAGATTATTGCAAACTCCACCTCCTGGGTTCAAGTGATTCTTATGCCTCAGCCTTCCAAGTAGCTGGGACTATAGGTCCCTGCCACCACACCTGGTTAATTTTTTTTTTTTTTTGGAAACAGGGGTCTCACTGTGTTGCCCAGGCTGGAGTGCAGTGATGTGGTCTCGGCACCCTGCAGCTTCTGCCTCCCAGGTTCAAGTGATTCTCTTGTCTCAGCTTTCCTAGTAGCTGGGACCACAGGCACGTGCCACCATACTTGGCTAATTTTTGTATTATTAGCAGAGACAGGGTTTCACCCTGTTGGCCAGACTGGTCTCAAACTTCTGGCCTCAAGTAAGCCTCCCACCTTGGCCTCTCAAAGTGCCTGGGATTTCAGGTGTGAGCCACTGCACCCAGTCTTGGCTAATTTTTGTAGTTTTATTTGGGACCGGGTTTTGCCATGTTGGCCAGGCTGGTCTCAAACTCCAGACCTCAAGTGATCTGTTCGCCTCAGCCACCCAAAGTGCTGGGATTACAAGTACGAGCCACGTACCCATGCTCAAATGAGTTTTAAATAGGTTGGTTTTTATTTTTATTTATTTATTTATTTTTTATTTTATTTTATTTTTGAGACAGAGCCTCACTCTTTTGCCCTGACTGGAGTACAGTGGTACCATCTTGGCTCTCTGCAACCTGGGCCTTCTGGGTTCAAGTGATTCTCATGCCTTAGCCTCCTGAATAGCTGTGACCCCAGGCACATGCCACCACACCCAGCTACTTTCTGTATTTTTAGTTGACACAGGGTTTCACCCTATTGGCTAGGCCAGTCTTGAACTCCTGACTTCCAAGTGATCCGCTCGCCTCAGCCTTCCAAAATGCTGGGATTATAGGTGTGAGCCACCATGCCCAGCCTATGTTGGTTTTTAAGTGAATGAGGTCTGAACAAACATTTTGTTTTCTCTCGGGTCTGATGAAATTGTTCATTAGGATGTGCTTCTATAAAAACCCCATAATACCTGCAAATAATTCCATAATGCCTGCCTACTTGATGCTTTGTAGAATTTGACAAGATGATATTATTTTGATTTTCCCTGCTCTTTAATTATGGTATCATTAAGGTCTTAACATAAAATTGTATTTTAACTTTCTAAATTTTTTTTAATTTTTATTTTTTAGAGACAGTCTCACTTTGTCACCCAGGATAGAGTATAGTGGCACAATCATGGCTCACTGCAGCCTCAGCCTTGTAGCTTAAGTGGTCCTCCTGCCTCAGCCTCCTTAGTAGCTGGAACAACAGGTATATGCCACCATGCCCAGCTAATTTTAGTTTTTTTGTAGAGTTAGAGTATTGCTGTGTTGTCCAGGGTGTTGAACTCCTGGGCTCAAGTGATCCTCCTGCCTCGGCCTCCCAAAGTACTGGGATTATAGGCATGAACCATCACACCCAGTCCTAACACTGTTAATAGTGATTTTTCAAAGTTTTGTTTGTTTGTTTATTTTTGTCAGGGTCAAGTAAACCACCTATTAAATAATTCCTCCAAGGAAACTGAGCAGCCATCTACCAAAGCAGTAATTATCAGCCATGAATGCACCAGAACCCAAGACGTTTATCATACAAAGAAAAAAACACATCATTCAAGACTAGTAGACAAAGACTGTATTCTTAATGCAACTCTTAAGCAACTAAGAAGCCTTGGAGTAAAAATTGATTCTCCTACTAAAGTGAAGAAAAATGCACACAATGTGGATCATGCCAGGTAACTTAAAATTTTGCTTTAAAGGGTGAATAAATTTTAATTTCTCTATTTTTACCCATCATTGGCTAGATGAATAAATTTTAGATGTATTATGGCAGTCTCATCAGAAAAGGTATGTTTGTGCCTCTCAATTCAGTTGATTCATCATTTATTCAGGGTCTACCATATGCATGATAAATAAGAGATTCTTCATTTTTGTGGGAAAGAGGGTTATATACATAAGTAATTTGAGAGAGATTATGGGATGACTCCTGGCCAAATAGGCCAACAAAGTATTTAGGAGTCTTGAGGAAAGAGAAAGGAATTTCATTTGGCAGTGTCTGAAAATGATAAGGTCTGTTCCAGCTACTGGATGTACAGTTATACAATTGTGCCATCTAAAAAGCAAAATCATCAATTATCACCACTTTCTGGAGGTGATAAGGTCTGTTCCAGCTACTGGATGTACAGTTATACAATTGTACCATCTAAAAAGCAAAATCATTCCTTTTCTAGGAATGTGCCCAGCTGGTCACATTCTTCTGTTCAGATTCCTTTCTACCAAAGATGACCCCAGCACATAACTTATGGCTGGGCATAGTGGCTCACACCTGTAGTCCTAGCACTTTGGGAAGCCTAAGTGGGCAGTTTACCTGAGGTTGGGAGTTTGAGACCACCCTGACCAACATGGAGAAATCCTGTCTCTACTAAAAATAAAAAAATTAGCTGGGCATGGTGGTGCATGCCTGTAATCCCAGCTACTGTGGAGGCTGAGGCAGGAGAATCACTTGAACCCGGAAGGCGGTGGTTGCAGTGAGCCGGGATTGCACCATTGCATTCCAGCCTGGACAACAAGAGTGAAACTCCATCCCAAAAAAAAGAAAAAAATCACATAACTTACTAAAAAGAAAATAAAGTCTCAAGATTATATTATTAAGGCTAGCATATTTTCTGTTAATTATTTTTTCTTTTCTAATTTAAAAGTAATAAAAAAATTCATGATTTTAAAAAACAAACAATACACAAGACAGTGTAAGATTAAAACGCAAAAGCTAGTACTCCCCACATTTCTGTCTGACTCTTCCAAAGTTCCTTCTCTTAACCATTTCTTTTATATTCTAGAAATGTTCCATGAATAAGTATATATGTATGCGATAAACTTTATGATTTGATTTTTTTCTGTTACTATTTTAATTTTGAGACAGTCTTGCTCTGTCACTCAGGCTGGAGTGCAGTGGCATGATCACGACTGACTGCAGCCTCAACCTCTTGGACTCAGTTGATCCTCCCATCTTAGCCTCTTGAGTAGCTGGGACTACGGTCATGCACTACTACTTGGCTAATTTTTTATTTTTTGTAGAGATTGGGTCTTGCTATGTTGCCTAGTCTGCTCTCAAACTCTTAGACTCAAGCAGTCTTTTCACCTTGGCCTCCCAAAGTGCTAGGTAGGATTATTGCCGTGAGCCATTGCACCTGGCCTGTGTTTTTTTTGTTTTTGTTTTTTAAATTAAGACAAAGTCTCACTCTGTTGCCAGGCTGGAGTGCAGTGTCACGATTTTGGCTTACTACAACCTCCGCCTCCCTAGTTCAAGCTATTCTGCCTCAGCCTCCCGAGTAGCTGGGACTACAGGCGTGTGCCACCGTGCTCAGCTAATTTTTGTATTTTTAGTAGAGACGGGGCTTCACCATGTTGGCCAGGATGGTCTTGATCTCTTGACCTCGTGATCTGCCCATCTCAGCCTCCCAAAGTGCTGGGAGTACAGGCATGAGCCACAGTGCCTGGCCTTTTTTTTTTTTTTAAACTTAATATTATATCTTGGATACTTTTCCTTATAGTTATATATAGTTCTCTCATGTATTTAAACAGCTGCATAATATTTTTTTGTACCCTTGTACTAGAATATATTGAACTCCAATGCTCTATTATGGCCCTTTAGGCCAAATCTCTTATTTGTTATTTCAAACAATGCTAAGTGAACATTATTCTACAGGTACAAGTATCTTTGCAGAATAAATTCCTAGGTAGGCAGGATCAAAGAGTATGTGCATTCAAAGTCTTACTAGATACTACCATTGCTCACCAAATAGTTGTATCAGTTTATATTCCTACCAATAGTGCAGAAGAGTGAGCTAGCGTTTTTGAGGTTTTTATCCATGTTGTAAGGTAGAGGCTATGTATCCTAACCCTTTCCCTCTTGTTAGAGCTGCTACATGTATACAGGTGTGTCAGCTATCATTTCATGAATACATTCACTTTAACAAATTATATTGTATTTCTACTGTGAGCCAGCTTATATGAGATAGCATGATACACAAGATAACCTGGTAAAGAAAGACATCTTTGTTCTCAGAGTTTACAGTTCAGTGGGGAAGACACAGATAGTCAATATCTTTTATGCCTGCTATAAAATGGAAGGATATAGAATGCAATAGAATCACATAGGAGGGCCGGGCGCGGTGGCTCAAGCCTGTAATCCCAGCACTTTGGGAGGCCGAGGCGGGTGGATCACGAGGTCAACAGATCGAGACCATCTTGGTCAACATGGTGAAACCCTGTCTCTACTAAAATTACAAAAAAATTAGCTGGGCACAGTGGTGCGTGCCTGTAATCCCAGCTGCTCGGGAGGCTGAGGCAGGAGAATTGCCTGAACCCAGGAGGCGGAGATTGCGGTGAGCCGAGATCGCGCCATTGCACTCCAGCCTGGGTAACAGGAGCGAAACTCCGTCTCAAAAAAAAAAAAAAAGAATCACATAGGAAAGGTAGCTAACTTTAGGAGTATTTTCATACTGTGTCATAATTACTCTACATTAAAATGGCCCCGTTTAAAGATTTGTGCCAATTCAGACCAAATATATCTTAAAGTTTTAAAAGTTATATATCTTATTGATGCATTTTCTATATATTTTTTAATTTTTTAGTTTTTAAAGATAGGATCTTGCTCTGTTGCCCAGGCCTGTCACCCAGGCTGGAGTACAATGTACAATCATAATTTACTATAACCTCAAACTCCTGGGCTCAAACCGTCCTTCTGCCTCAGCTTCTTGAGTAGCTAGGACTGCAGACAGGTGCCATCATCTCTGTGTCATTTGATTAAATATGAAACTGTACTGCAGTAGTTGCTCTTATAAGAGTCAAATTTTGTTTGCCAGTTATCTTATGCTTACGTCTGGAATGTCCTATTCCAGATTAATTCGCGTTGTTTGAGTTTGACTTAAACTTAGTTTTTTAGTATAATGTCCTACCACTTCCTACCAAGTTGTAGCCTATTTACCATTGGCATTTGCAGGATTCCTTGATGTTACTTTTATCTAAGATGCTCTTTTCTTTTTGAGATGGAGTTTCACTCTTGTTGCCCAGATCTGGAGTACAATAGCATGATCTCAGCTTACTGCAACCTCCACATCCCAGGCTAAAGTGATTCATTCTCCTGCCTCAGCCTCCTGAGTAGCTGGGATTACAGGCATGTAATCTATGCCCGGCTAATTTTGTATTTTTACTAGAGGTGGGGTTCCTCCTTGTTGGTCAGGCTGATCTCAAACTCCCAACCTCAGGTAATCCACCTGCCTTTCCAAAGTGCTAGGATTACAGGCATGAGCGACTGTGCCCGGTTTCGTGCCTGGTTTGAGATGTTCTTTTTTACCTTTCTGCTTGCCAGAATCCTTCTTATCCTTTAAAGCTGAACTCAAATGTCACTTCTTTGGTCAAAGTTTCCTGGACCTCTCAGAGAGTGTTGATGTTTTATTCTTTTAAAATACTTTTTTCTCAGTAAATTGTAGCATGTATTTGCAACAGCATTTTCAGCAAGATTTTATTTTATTATTATTTTTTTTTTTAATTTTTTATTGGATTATAGGTTTTGGGGTACATGAGCAGAGCATGCAAGACAGTTGCGTAGGTACACACATGGCAGTGTGCTTTGCTTTTCTTCTCCCCTTCACCCACATTTGGCATTTCTCCCCAGGCTATCCCTCCCCACCTCCCCCTCCCACTGGCCCTCCCCTTTTCCCCCCAATAGACCCCAGTGTTTAGTACTCCCCTTTCTGTGTCCATGTGTTCTCATTTTTCATCACCCACCTATGAGTGAGAATATGCGGTGTTTCATTTTCTGTTCTTGTGTCAGTTTGCTGAGGATGATGTTCTCCAGATTCATCCATGTCCCTACAAACGACACGAACTCATCATTTCTGATTGCTGCATAATATTCCATGGTGTATATGTGCCACATTTTTCCAATCCAGTCTATTATCAATGGGCATTTGGGTTGATTCCAGGTCTTTGCTATTGTAAACAGTGCTGCAATGAACATTCGTGTACATGTGTCCTTATAGTAGAACGATTTATAGTCTTTTGGATATATACCCAGTAATGGGATTGCTGGGTCAAATGGAATTTCTATTTCTAAGGCCTTGAGGAATCGCCACACTGTCTTCCACAATGGTTGAACTAATTTACACTCCCACCAACAGTGTAAAAGTGTTCCTTTTTCTCCACATCCTCTCCAGCATCTGTTGTCTTCAGATTTTTTAATGATCGCCATTCTAACTGGCGTGAGATGGTATCTCAATGTTGTTTTGATTTGCATCTCTCTGATGACCAGTGACGATGAGCATTTTTTCATATGACTGTTGGCCTCATATATGTCTTCTTTCGTAAAGTATCTGTAAATCCTCATTGCCTCTACCACTAACTTAGTGGGCCTTCAGTGAGTCATTTGGCTGAATGAATGACATTCCTTCTACTCAGGTGATCACTGAAGCTTACAATGAAGGTTCATTTTTAGTGTCTGTAGTATTTACTATCAGTATTTATGACCATATATTGTTATCTTTTTTAACATGTGTAGGTGTAACATAACTGATACACTAAAAGTTTATGAGGCAGTTGTTTAGAATTTAAGACAAATTTTTCTGTAGAAACAGTGTTACAAATTATAGGTTAACTATTCTAGGAAACTAATCCTTATAATCCATATTGCTCCTCTAGCTCTGTAAACTAGCCATCTTTCATCATTGTATCTGTGTGAAAACTCATTTCATGTTACAGTTCTGGACTCCAGGAGCATATCCTCCCACCACAAGAATGGCTAAGGCAGGGGAAGGAATACTTGCTTTCTACTTTCCTGTTAATAGACTGCCGCAGAGATTAAGAGAATCTAGAGGCAGGAAGGCAGGGAAAGAGGGTGCCAGGCATACCTAGAAATTGTACAGGAAATGTAGATCATGGGTTTGAGGTCTGGAAGCAACTTCTACACGTAGGTTCCCAATTGGAGTGACCTTTTAAATTCAAAACCTGTCTCAAGCAGTCTCTCTAGTTGCTTCTTTACCCTGCTTCCTGGCTATCTGCTTAGTATTTGAAAAACTCTGTGTAGGATAAGTAGTAGATAACTAATCTGGATTCAAACAGCGTAATGAATCAAAGTTTATTTATTTATTTTTTTTGAGAGACAGGGTTCTTGCTCTGTTGCCCAGGCTGGAATACAGTGACAGTCATTGGAGCCTCAGTCTCCTGGGCTCAAGTGATCCTCCCACCTCAGCTTCCTAGGTAGGTAGCTGGGACTACAGATGTGCAGCACCACACCCAGCTTATTTTTGTTTGTGGAGATGGGGATCTTGATTTTCATCTGAGTTGGAATAATTTTAGAGCTTTGCTTCAATTGTTGGCATGTCGCTGGCTCTCTTACTCGAATTTATTCATGAACTTTCATCATTCCTTTGTGACTGCACATCTAATGAGATTTTAACATAGGTATAATTTGTGCTCAGGCTTTTAGGATTTGATTAGTGGCCAGGTGCAGTGGCTCACGCCTGTAATCCCACCACTTTGGGAGGCTGAGGTGGGCGGATCACCTAAGGTCAGAAGTTCCCAGCCTGACCAATATGGTGAAACCTCATCTTAAAAAAAAAAAAAAAGAAGAAGAAAGAAAGAAAGAAAAAAGGATGTGCTTAGTGGAGTGGAGTGGCTTCCTTTTTGATTTTTTTTGAGACGGAGTTTCGCTCTTGTTACCCAGACTGCAATGGCACAGTCTCGGCTCACTGCAACCTCCACCTTCTGGGTTCAAGCAATTCTCCTGCCTCAGCCTCTCGAGTAGCTGGGACTACAGGCGCGCACCACCATGCCCAGCTAATTTTTGTATTTTTAGTAGAGACGGTTTCACCTTGTTGACCAGGATGGTCTCAATCTCTTGACCTCGTGATCCACCCGCCTTGGCCTCCCAAAGTGCTGGGATTATAGGCGTGAGCCACTGCGCCTTTTTGCTTTTTATCTTAATTACCCTAGTGTTTATATGCTTTGGTTCTGAGTACTATCAATTTTTTTTTTTTTTTAAGCAATGTGGTCTCTATTTTGCCTAGGCTGGCACCTTGAACTCCTGGGCTCAAGCAATCCTCCTGCCTCAAGCTCCTGAGAAGCTAGGACTACAGGTGTGCATACCACTGCGCCTGTCTTGATTTATTTTGCTGTTAAAGTAACTATGTCTCATTGCCCCTGCCCTGCCCTCCAAGTTGAAATTGGCTAGCTTGTGTTAGGCATTGAAACTTGAATAGCTTTCTAAACTGATATTAATTTATGGATCTTTTAACCATTCTGTAAAAGAATATCTAGTTAAAATTAGAGGCTGGGCATGGTGGCTCACACCTGTAATCCCTGCACTTTGGGAGTTTGAGATGAGAGGATCACTGGAGCCCAGGAGTTCAAGACTAGCCCGAACAACATAGTGAGACCCATCTTTGCAAAAAGAAAAAGTTTTGGTTAGCTGGGCATGGTGGCATACACCTGTAGTCCCAGCTACTTTGGAGGCTGAGGTAGGAGAGTCACTTGAGTCTGGGAGGTCGATGCCATAGTGAGCCATGATTGCGCCACTGTACTCTAGCCTTAGTGGCAAAGTGAAAGCTTGTCTTAAAAAAAAAAAAACATAAATGAGACCTGTTTTCTTTAAATAGTTAACATTTTTAATTAGAAGTTTGTATTTATTCTTATCAAATTATTTACATTAATGTTATCTATAGACTGAGGAAGTAGGCAAAGTAGAAAAATACTTCAAAAAATATTGTCACTATTAATAAAAGAATAATGTCTTTACAAATTAATAGTATCTCTTTCATCTTATTAAAATAAAATAGTCTTCAAAGTATTAAGTACCAAGAAGGTTAAGGGAGAATTTCAAGGTTACAAAGACCAGCATTATTGAGCACACTGATCCATTGTTTGGTGATGACATCACTGGTTTCAGGGAATATTAATGATTGGAAACAGTTTCTTCCAAATTTCATGTGCTTATAAGAATGAAAATGTATAATGGTAATTTGATTTTTGTGAGTCTGAGAATGCAAGCAGTGGCTAGCATGTATAAAACAGCTGAATTTATTCATGGCATGATGTAGAAAGCCATAGTATATTCTTTGACTAGAATATAATGTTTACCACAACAAAAATAGTGCACAAAGGACTCTGATAGAAAAACTCTAAGTTACTGAATATAGTACAGTAAAACAGTGGTTATAGAGCCCCAGAGAGTAAGACAGGCGTAGATTTTCTCAGCTTGCTATATACTAGCTGTTCAGCTTTGGGGAAATTAGCTCGAATCTCTATTCCTTAGTTTTCTCAACTGAGAATACATATAACAATAGTACCTACTTCTTTTATTCATTCAACAAATACTTGCTGAGCGCCTACTATGTGTTCTAAGCATTGAAGATACTGCAGTGGGGGTTGGAATAGGGAAAACTCTGCCCTCATTGGCTTTCATGAGAGTGCTAGACAATAAGAATTGAGCATTGATTGAATATATAGATGTATATATTCAATGTATAGATAGTGATAAGTGCTACAAAGAAAACAAAAAAGTAGGGGAAAGGGAACGTAAAGTGTTGAAATGAAGAATAAGATAGAAATATTTGATAGGGAATACCTCCCTGAGAAAGGTTACTCTGAGGAATCTGTATGAATAATGAGTGTAAAGCATTTAGCAGAGTACCTGGCATAAATAGGGACTCAGTAATTAGTGGGCTGGGTGCAGTGGCTCACACCTATAATCCCAACACTTTGGGAGTTCGAGGAGGGAGGCTTGCTTGACCTCAGGAATTTGAGACCAGCCTGGGTCTGTAATTGTGCCAACATTAGTAAATGACATGCAGTTGCTACTGCATTCTAGGCTGGACAATAGAGCAAGATCCTGTTTCAAAAAAATTAGCAGCTGTTTTATGTATATGTGATATTAAGGAAAAGATAAGTCAGTTGACTTAACACTAATCAAAGTGAGTTAAAGATTATATCTAATTAAAAAAAGTGTTCCTGTGTGTGTGTATATATCTAGAGACCGGTTGATGTTTTTTATTCATTACAAATGGAATCTCTTCAACTATGAACAATTTGATTTTCAGAGCTACTTACCAAAGCTTATATTGTTATATAATCAAATGTGTTTTGTGTTTGATTTTATTTTTATGTTTTACTTTACATTAACCATTAGTTGATCTCTTGTACTATTTGGGTTACTAGTTATAAATTAAATGACTCATAGCTATGTTGAATGACTTTTACGTTTGGGCCCTTGTATTTGGTCTTAAAACCATGACTGATATACAGATTTAGGAAAATTAATTTGTATTCTACTTTCAACCTGTAAATCATGGTTTACCTTCTAGGCTATTATTATTATTATTGTTTTTAAGACAGAGTCTTCCTCTGTTGCCAGGCGCCAGGCTGGAGTGCAGTGGCGTGATCTTGGCTCACTGCAACCTCTGCCTCCTGGGTTCAAGCAATTATCCTGCCTCAGCCTCCCATGTAACTGGGATGACAGGTGCATGCCACCACGCCCAGCTAATTTTTTTGTATTTTTAGTAGAGACGGGGTTTCACCATGTTGGCCAGGATGGTCTTGGTCTCTTGACCTCGTGGTCTACCCGCCTCAGCCTCCCGAAGTGCTGGGATTACAGGTATGAGCTACCGTGCCCGGCCTAGGCTATTATTTTTATCCCCCCTCTCACCGTTTTTTTTTTTTTTTTTTTTTTTAAGAGACAGGGTCTTGTTCGGTTGTCCAGGCTGGAATGCAGTAGCACGATCTTGGCTCACTATAACTTTGAACTCTTGAGCTCAAGTGATCCTTCTGCCTCAGCCTCTCAAGTAGCTGGGACTACAAATGTGTACCACCATGCCTGGCAAATTTTTAAATTTTTCGTGGAGACAAGATGTTGCTATGTTGCCTAGGCTGATCAACTCCTTGCTTCAAGCAATCCTCTTACTTCAGTGACCCCATGTGCTAGGATTGCAGCACATTGCTGGGTACAGTGCTTGGACCACTGTATCCTTTGTTTATCTGGATCATCAAGACTTAATGTCTGAATACTTACATAAAAGGACCATGAACCTAAAGCTAAAGATCTTTTGTTGCTTTTATAGAATGGAACACACTGAGAACTATTTATTTCTCAGAGTATGACAAGTGATGGCTTACTACTTTGTGTCTTTCAGTGTGTTGGCATGCATCAGCCCAGAAGCAGTGATCTCTGGATTAAACTGCATGTCATTTGCTAATGTTGGCATGAGTGGCTTAAGCCCCAATGGTGTGGATTTGAGCATGGAGGCAAATGCTATAGCTCTGAAATATTTAAATGAAAATCAGCTCTCACAACTGTCTGTCACTCGATCAAACCAAAATAATTGTGACCCATTCAGCCTTCTCCATATTAATACAGACAGAAGCACAGTGGGGCTTAGTTTAATTTCACCGAACAACATGTCATTTGCAACCAAAAAGTATATGAGGAGATACGGACTACTACAAAGCAGTGACAATAGCGAAGATGAAGAGGAGCCTCCCAACAATGCAGATAGCAAGAGTGAACATTTATTGAATCAGAACCTTACTTCCACACCTGAACAGCTTGGTGGTCAGAAAGAGCCTTCTAAGAATGACCATGAAATAATTAATTATTCTAACGGCGAATCTGTGGGCACCAACACAGATATGCCAGTATTGAGAAATATTACAAATGAAGTTTTGCAGTCAAAAGCCAAACAGCAGCTGACTGAAAAGCCAGCTTTCTTATTAAAGAACCTTAAGCCAAGTCCTGCAGTGAACCTTCGAAGTGGGAAAGCAGAATTCACTCAACATCCTGAGAAAGAAAATGAAGAGGACGTTGCAATTTTTCCTGAAAGTTCGCAACCTTCTGAAACTCTAAAGCAGATGAATAGCATGAATTCAGTAGGCACCTTCTTAGATATAAAACGTCTCAGACAGTTACCAAAATTATTTTAGTTTTCTAACTCCCTGTCCATTTAATACAGGAACAGAGTGTCTCCTAAAGATACTTAGGGAAGCCAGAGAGCCGTGTGGTAGTTTGGGATTTCCTAATCATTCTGGAGTCAGTCTCTTTCTTGGTAAAAGCAGCCAATTGCAAAGAGTGGCTTTTTCTATAAAATGGCTGGCTAGTGATAGGACTAAGTTCTCATTCCTCAAATAGAGCTGTTCAACATCAATGAAATAGTTAAGAAAAACAAGCCCTGAGATCAGCTATTCCAAAAAATTTAAGTAGACAGATACTATCCAGCTCTGAATCTCAATTGCTCTTTTATATTGGACTTTTTTTTTTTTTTTTTTTGAGATGGACTTTTTCTCTTGTTGCCCAGGCTGGAATGCAATGGTGCAATCTCGGCTCATAGCAACATCTGCCTCCTGGGTTCAAGTGATTCTCCTGCCTCAGCCTTCTGAGTAGCTGGGATTGCAGGCATGTGCCACCGCAGCTGGCTAATTTTGTATTTTTAGTAGAAATGAGGTTTCTTCATATTGATCGGGCTGGTCTTGAACTCCTGACCTCAGGTGGTCTGCCCACCTTGGTCTCCCAAAGTGCTGGGATTACAGAAGTGAGCCACCACGCCCGACTATACTGTACATTTTAAGAAGTTCTAGCATGTTGTATCTCTGCATTTATCCCATATCACTAAAAGAACATAAGTTATCATGTTGTTGGGTAAATTAGCAAAATCAGCCCTTCCTAAGTTTAAGGGAAAAGTTATTTTTAAAAATAACTTAATAAAAATAGCTTACATTCTTTTATACAAGAATATATTTCCTGTTAATTAGGATGCATGTTTATTAAACTCTGGAGATACAACTTTTTGCAGTGTGGTGGGTTGGTTTTAGTGTAATGTCTTCAACATGTAGCACTGGCTATCGAAGAATAAGAAAATTACCGAGTATGAGTGTGTTTTATAAACTTTCTGAGTTTTTCAAATGTCTTAGTATTTTTTAATATAACAATAAAAATGTCTAGATTGACTGTTTTTCTTTGTTCTCTGTTACAGTTTATTTTTAAAAAAAGCTGACTGACCCCAAATTACAAAAATAATAGAGCGAGTTCACGTATAACCCTCTTCCAGTGTCCTCGAGTGATAATAGCTTACATAAGCATAGTAAATGAGCAAAACCAAGCAATTGACATTGGATATAATGCTAATAACTGAACCACAGACCTCAGGTTTCACAAGTGTTTACATGCATTCATTTATTTACTTTTTGGTGTATAGTTGTATGAAATTTTATCTTTTTTTTTTCTTGGAGACAGGATCCACTCCTGACCTCAAGTAATTCACCTCTCTCAGCCTCCCAAAGTGCTGGGATTGCAGGTATGAGTCACTGCTCTTGGCCATGAAATTTTATCTTTTTTTTTTTTTTTTGAGATGGACTCTCCCTCTGTCACCCAGGCTGGAGTGAAGTGGCGGGATCTTGGCTCACTGCAACCTCACCTCCCAGATTCCAGTGATTCTGCCTCAGCCTCCCGAGTAGCTAGGATTTTAGCCACGTGCTGCCACACCTGGCTAATTTTTGTATTTTTAGTAGAGATGAGCTTTCACCACACTGGCCAGGCTGGTCTCAAACTCCTGACCTCATGATCCGCCCAACGTGGCCTCCCAAAGTGCTGAGATTACAGGCTTCAGCCACCTCACCTGCCTGAAATTTTATCTTTTATAGAATCACGTAACTACTACCATAGTCAGCATACAGAACTATTCCATCAGGACAATCTCCCTAGTGCTACCCTTTTAAAACACACCATCTCTCTAACCCTAAGCCCCAATAGCCAGTGATCTTTCCACTGCTAGAATTTTGGCATTTTGAGAATCTTATACATAAATGGAATCGTATAGTGTGTACCTTTGAAATCAGCTGTTTTCACTTGGCATGATGTCCTAAGGTATATCCAAGTCGTTGAGTGTATCAGTTCTTTCTTGGCACACCCTCCCAACCTTTTTAAAAGTTAGGTCTTAAATTATTATTTTTGAATATAAATGAAAAAGTCCTCATAGACTTGAAAGATAAAGCTTTGCTGTTGAAGTTAAATTGAGATGTAATTGTTTCATATCAAAGTTAATATGTAAACTGGAAATAAATGGACTTTGGATCCATTTCCAACCCAACTGTGGCTTTCCGAGACAACCTGAAAAAACTTCATAGTAGCAAGCCCAAGAGTAGTAACATGGTGGCTCCCTACTGTTTCCACTGGAACCACGAACCAGTTAGTGCATCGTTCCCTACATCATTGCTCTTTCAAGTTAAAATTAAGACATGTAAATGGCAATGGTCATGTCTTGCCCTGTGTTTCCATGCACATTGGGGCTTTAGTTATTTTAATAAATAGCATAAAAATTCACTTACATGTTTTATTGGAATAAATTTAAGTAATGGAATTGTCAATACTGCTTCAAATGTGTTCTCTTTGGCCCTCAGTTTCACTCAACAAGTGAGTGTAAATACAGTTTATATTGCACATTATTGAAAAAACCAAGTGAATTAACTGACAGCCTCATCATGTACCTCTATCACTGGGAGCCTTGTAATATTTATACCAAATAAGAAGCTATCTTAATAGTAAAAACAGAAGCTAAGCTTTTTGGGCAAAGTCTAATTTGATCACTTACTATCACATCCAATTTAAGACCACATCTAATTTTTTTGAGACAATCTCATTCTGTCGCACAGGCTGAAGTGCAGTGGCACATTGCGGCTCACTGCAACCACATCCCGGGTTCAAGCAATTCTCCTGCCTCAGCCTCCCGAATAGCTGGTAATTTTTCTGTTTTTAGTAGAGATGGGGTGTCGCCATGTTGGCCAGGCTGGTCTCGATCTCCTGACCTCAGGTGATCCACCCACCTCGGCCTCCCAAAGTGCTAGGATAACAGGCATGAGCCACCATACCTGGCCAAGTCCATATCTAATTAAAGATAAAATGTCTAAGCAGTTTTGAAGCTTGAATTTAGACTGCAGATTAATTCAACAAAACAATGTCTTTTTACTAAACATGTGCCAAGAGAAGAGGAACCATTACCGAAGCCTACTCTAGAAGGTTTTTACGGTGTTTCACCACAAGAAGGTTGATATAGTTTGGATGTTTGCTCCCACCCAAATCTCATGTTGAATTGTAATCCCTAATGCTGGGTCATAGGGGCAGGTCCCTCATGGTTTGGTGTTATGCAAGTGATTTCAGGTGTGATCTAGTCGTTTAAAAGCTTAAAAAGTATATGGCACCTACCCATCTCCCTCTCAGCCCAAACCTCTTTTCTTTATAAATTGCCCAGTCTCAGATGTATCTTTAGAGCAATGCAAAAATGGCCAGCACAAGTTATTTGGGAAATTATTTACTATGATAGCTTTTAAGCATATTTAGAGAAAGCATTAGTACTGGGAAAATTGGATTTAAAAATTTTAGGCCAAGTGCCGTGATGCATGCCTGTAATCCCAACAGTTTGGGAGGCCGAGGCAGGCGGATTGCCTAAGGTAAGGAGTTCGAGACCAGTCTGGCCAGTGTGATGAAACCCTGTCTCTACTAAAAGTACAAAAAAAATTAGCTGAGCCTACTAAAAATACAAAAAATATTAGCTGGGCATGGTGATGTGCACCTGTAATCCAGCTACTTGGTAGGCTGAGGCAGGGGAATTGCTTGAACTAGGGAGGTGGAAGTTGCAGTGAGCTGACATCAAGCCTCTGCACTCCCGCCTGGGTGACAGAGCGAGACTCTATCTCAAAAACAAAAACGAAAAAAAAAAACAACTTGGAGATACTTGCCTCTTAAGTGACATCTCCAAATTTCTTTCCTCCAGTCCCACAGCATACTGTTTATAAGATAACATGGATGCTACTTCAAATGGAATAGGAAAATGATGAAACTTATATTACCTAACTTCTGGGAAACAAACCTGTTGGTCCCAGTCCTGGCCAATGGGCAACCCACCCTTACCCCACTTGACCAAAAATCTCCTCACTCAACCTCTAAGCTTCTTGCTGGTTAGTTTAAATCAATAATTACTCCATGCTTTACTTTGTCCTCTGCCTTATCCTAACCTGTGCTAAGCCTGCCTCCACAGAAGTGGATGTAGACATGTTAAACAGTATCCTTGCCTTTGCCAGCTGTAAAGATTCTATGGAAAACAGATATACACTGGAAACAGTCACAACAGTTAGGAGAGTATGACGAAAAGCCAACATGAGTGATCTAGATTCTGAGGAGCCACAACAATGTAACGGTGACACTTCCATCTTTGTAAGTCTTACTGTGTGCTCACAGGGCATTGTGCAGAGCTCTTCACATACATTAGTTCATTTAAGCCTTCTGGCTGACCCTGGTTGGTGATAGCTAAGGTTTGAATGTTTGTCCCCTCCATGAAGATTCAGTTTCATGTTGAAATTTAATCTTCAGTGTGGCAGTATTGAGAGGTGGGGCTTTTAAGAGGCGATTGGGTCATAAGGATTCTGCTCTCTTAAATGGGTTAATCCATTCACAGATTTATGGATTAATGGTTTATCTTAGAAATGAGACTGGTGGCTTTATAAGAAAAGGGAGAGAGACCTGAGTTAGCGTGCTTAGCCCCCTCACCTTAGATGCCTTGTGCCACCTTGGGATTCTGCAGGCTCCACCAGCAAGAAGGCCCTCACTAGATGCAGCCCCTCAACCTTGAACTTCTCAGCCTCCATAAATGTAAGAATACATTCCTTTTTATAAATTACTCAGTTTCAGATAAACTGTTGTAGGCAATGAAAACAGACTAAGACAGTGATTGTTATCCTCATAGTTGAGGGAAGGCCTCAGGGAAGTAATTTGCTACCAGAGATTCAAGCTTAAGTATAACCCTAGCACTCAAGTTCTTACTAAGCCATTGAGAAATCACTCTCAGGCCTGAGGAATTCAGGAAGAGCTTTCTGCAAGAAATGGATCTTGAGCTGAATAAATTATTTCAAATACTCCAACCAATGCTGTCTTTAAATACTGTGCTAGGGTCCTTCAAGCTGCTTCACTTTCCTTTTCTTCAGAGTCTCTTGCCCTTTAGCCAAGACCAGAAGCGATTATTTTTTACTCCTGTGTTCTGAAATAGGCAACTCCAGCTCTGTTAATGTTAAAGGGTTCACTTTCAATGATTTTACAATGTGATAAACTAGTACTGAGTCTGTAGTATAACGGCTCTAGGAAATTCAAGGAATGAAAAGTTCCTTCGGTGCCCTTGTTTTCTAGGCATTGCTCATGAAGGCAGAACCTTTCCTAGCCTCCTAGATTAACTAAGAGGCCCTTATATACAGGCAGTATAAATTTCCTTATAATGTCTGACATTTGCAGACTCCTTCACACTTTTCAAAGTGCTTTTTCCACATATTTTTCACATGGAATTCTTACAACAAAACCCTACTGAAATACGTATGGCAGGCAAAATTAATCCCTTTTTACCAATGACCAGACAGATACAAAGTATAACTGGGCTAAAATCACACACTTAGAGTTAATGACCAGGACATCAGCCTAGTGTCCCTCCACAGCATCTAGCCCAGTGCAGCCACTCCCTCCACCTTTCTTCCCCACACCAGTATTTTTTTTGCACCTAGTCATTCAACAGATAAATAATGACCCTTCCGGACACTGAGCTAGAAGCTGAGCCTATGACGATGAATAAAACATGCCCTATAGGAACTCGGTCTAGTGAGGGAGAGACATGCACACATTAGCAATCCCATTAGGCAAGTGCTTATAATGAAACTACACAACATGTGAGAATGTAAGAGAAGCTGGAGGTTATTTTGAGAATATTCTAGAGGAGTGATGACATTTTTCCAGAATCAAAAGCAACAGGAAAGAAAAGAGGAGCTGGGGATATTTTCTGATGGAGGGAACCACTTGCGCAAAAGCAGGGAGCTATGAATAGTATAGCATTTGGAAGAGGGGGTCTGGGGAAGGGAACCAAAGATAGGAAAGAAAAGACACACAGGTAGATAGAGCACCAAATTAGGAGTCAGCAACAAT